TTTTGTTCAAAAATACAGACTTAATCCACCGACATTCCTTTTACTGTTTGTCTTTCAAAGGCGTTTCTGTTATTCGTTATCTTCTCGGGTGGATTTGTGTCAGGGATATAAGTAGGGAAAGAAAACTACAAGTCATATAGGCGAAACGCCTCTGACAAACCAAAATCTGGGTATTTATCGATCCCTCAAAACCAAAATAATATTTAGGTTTGATGATTAACATTGTCATGTTGTAGTTGCTGTCCTTCGATCATCCTGGTCCGCCTAGTCTCGCAGATTTGGTCTCCTAGACGCCTTTGTAAAAAACGCAGACTTAATAGTTTGTGTCCTTTCAATCAACCTGGTCCGCCCATTCTCGCTAGTTTCGTCTCTGAAGAAGCATTTTGTACAAAAACACAGGCTTAATCCACCGAAGTGACCGACACCTCTTTTACTGTTCGTCTGTCACTCGCGTTTCTGCTGTTTATTATTATCTGATCTAATGTTTGTAAGGGATATAAGCAGGGAGAGACAAGATAATAAATCAAGTTAACGTACTAATCAAACCTGCGAAGACTGACAGACTCTAACAATTGTTTAAGTATGTGTTACCCCCCCCCCCAAACCACCAATCAAGTTTGTGTCTTCTATCATACTGGTCCGTCTAGTCTCGCTGGTTTTCCTGCGAAAACACAGACTAGACCAGACACCGACACCTTTTGCCATCCTTCATCTTTTCCGTTGACCAACGAAGAAATGGACCCACGACCAAACTACTGGAAATTTTTAGCACTCTAGAATTTTTTCGTATCGTATGCGAAAGTGATGATTGGACATTTTGATCAGCCGATACTCGCTAGGTTGATCTTTCAGACGTGTTTGTGCTCTTCGCCACTTATGTAATGGATTTGTGTCCGGGTATAAAACTTGTCTGACAGAACGAACAACTATCGGGTTGTCCGGAAAATAATGCAGGATTTTAAGTTTTCATTAAAAAAAATCTATATAAAATATTCTGTTTACGTTTACAGGATTACTCATTTGTATGAATGNAAATTATTTTGATTAAAGAACATTGCTTTAAAGTAACTAGTTTCTTTTTTTTTGTTTAATACCAAAATCCTGCATTATTTTCCGGACAACCCAATAATAACAAATAACTACTATGAAATAACAAATAAAAATGAATCGTTGCCGGCTGGTTTTAATATTAAATCAAAAATGCGGAAATGTTCACAGTACAGGGTTATTCTGGCATCCAAGTATAGAGACGGCATTATACCAAAAATTCCCTAAATTAAAAGCCTACACCTGTCTGTAATATGCCGTGTTGTTCCATTTTTCTCGCTGCTGCCTTAGATTATATTATTTTATCAAGTCATCATTATTATTCTCTTTTTATAGACCGTGTTTCTAAACTTGACAAAACGTCTCTGGCTCACTATCAGAATCTTAATTTTCTTGGTTGAATGACATGTTCCTTACGCTTTTTTATTAGGGTAGGTTTATTTGGTCATTTCAATCACAGAATCCATTGATCTTCACCAATTTGACAAACCATTGGTTTTATTTTATCTCAAGGTTTTTGTCTAATGCCGATCGTGTAAAAGCAGTACAGAAGCGATGCCCGTCGCAAGATAATTATCTGGAGCGATGTGTTTTTCCGTCGGACAAGATATCCTCGGCGATATTGAGACCACCCGTTAAAATTTCTAAACACGTCCTTTAATGACAGGGTTCCCGGAGGGGCCTTGTTATTAACTCATTAATCATTTAATCCTCTTCGAGATCCCTCTTAAGCCTTTCTTTGGAAAAAAAAGGTCCTCGATTCTCTATGACGGCTACTACACACCGGCAGTTTTCATTTAAACGTTTTTAACCCGCGGTTAAAAAATGGTTTTGTTGGTAAATTGGTTGTTGTAACACGTTTGTGAATTTGACCAAGCTTACTTGATGGTACGACAAAAATTTTATTTGATTTTAAACTATTTTAGTTACCTTACTTTATTTACTCACGTATTTTTGGGTCTATAATAGTATTTTATGTAAGTTTTATGATAATTGTAAGATTTAAGGGTGGGTCGTTTACAATCATCCCGCTTAGTTTTGCCTGATTTCTTGGACGACTTTTGGCGTGGATTTTATTTATAAACACATATATTATCCACAAAAAACACCGAAATCCATTTCTTCACTTTTATGTAACACGATGAACAGCAAACAAAACAATTTATTTTGATTATGCTATCATTTCTAATTTGGTCAGTCAGACACGTTTCTGCTTTCCACCATCTACTCTAGTGGGATGAATAAGCAGGTTGAGACAAGACTACTATTCAAATTAGCGAAATGTATCTGTTAGGACAAACTTAGGCTAGGTGAATAACATTAAACAACCACAGACGAGACCGATCAATCAACATAACACAACAAAATACATAACATAACAACAAACTTTAAAAAAGTGATTCATAAGCACACCAGAGAAGTGAAACAAATTTAACTAGTTTTGTGTATAAAATAAAATATTTCTTCTGTATTTGAAACATTAATAATTTACAGTTAATCATAATCAAAACTAGGAGAAATCATCTGACTTCAATGCAGACATTAATGGTTCTACCATTTTATGAAGCTTCAGCTGAAATAAACTGATATATCTAATGACAAAGACTACACATTATATAATTTTTTTTTTTTTTATTGACTACATTATGAAAAAGTTTTTTGGTGTAACATTGGCTGTATTAAATGCCTTTTGGCCAATTCAGCTACCCAAAGTTTCACAATCCAGGAGCAAATTTGACTTTTCTTTTTGTTTTTCTTTTGTAAAATTTTCGTTTGTGTCGGCAACCTTTCCTGTCTTACATCTTTATGGTAGAATACCACTGTAAAATAAACCCTCATCTCGGAAAGCGTTATTTTATTTATTTTTGGCGTCTTCTTTTTGTAAAAAAGAGAAGGACGGATATAGAAAAGAGGGAAAACGGCGAAGTGGATAGCCTTGAGGGTCCTCTTGTCCGGAATAGAGACAAAATAGAAACCGGGCCGTGCAAATTTTTTTAATATATAAAAATTCAAAGTCAATATTATATTATCAAAATATTAAAAAAGAAGTCTATAGTTAATCCTTAATATAGGCAAACCCTAATGAAAATGTATTACTTTCTATAAGCATTAATACTTTAGGAAAAAAAGCACAACTTCATTCAACTGACTAATGACTTATAAATTGCTTAGCATAACAAGTTGAATTAATTTGCCCTGGCTGATTTATTATCTCATAATTATTGTTAATTACCTCGTCTCCACCCTTAGCAACAAGTTTATTAATGGAAAATGAAAAGTTTCGGCTGTTTTCTCTGTCGAATCTTTTTTTTTTTTTTTTTTTTTTTTTTTTTTTTTTTTTTGTTCAGAAATTAATTGTTTAATCATTAATTTGTCAATTGCTTGCGTATTTATTTTAGTAACGTTTATGTTACGTGTTCCGCGAGGGTCATCAAGATTGATAATGCATTTTAAAAAAAAGCCTTGTGGGCATCCTGCTCACATTTCCTGTCACCAAAACTTGTTCTATACTTGATAAAAACAAAACTAAATTAATGATAAAATTCATCAATCGTGCAGCTTTATGATACATTTTGAAATTCAATATTTTATACAATAATTTATTAATATTATCAATAATTGTGAAATAATAATTATATACTAAATAAATAATAATTATCCCATTTGGATACACTGAAGATGGAGTCTACTAACAGAACATTGCCTATCAGAAAACCAATTGAGCATAAGCTTTATTTAAATTGTTGTTATAGTCAGGGTTATAAGCAGGGCGAGTTGACTAACACAATCAAATATGACCTAACCTTCACTAAGTTTTAAAAAAAACATCAGACAAAATAACACATGATGGATCAACAAAGATGACGAAAGATTGGAATGCACCTGAAAGAGCAAGTGCAGGCAGACAAAAATCAAAAATGATTGCAAATAACCAAGCTTTTATAACATTTTGTGGCCTTATGATTGTTTAGGGTTGGCAAATAGGTTTGTTTGGTTTTTACGATTGTAAATTTGATTAATGAAATCTTGACATCTGTTTACTAATTCTTTTATGCCACAGCGGTAAAACTAGGGCTACTGAAGAAAAACTGATCAAGGAGGAATTTTAGCCTCATTGTCAGCGAATTCTTATTCAGAGTGGTTTACAACGATCAGAATAAATGATAACCAGAAAGTCCGGTGAATACCGAAGAAAACAATATTACTGAGTATTGATTTATACAAGCTCAAATCTTTGCATGATCTATGATCTATCTATGTACGTGATGCACATAGTTGAGCCTATTACTGCTCGCAATCCACCTGTAATTGCAGCTTATGTAATTTACAGTAAATTACCGGCAGGTTTTGAGAATCACCCATCCTGGTTGTTGGCAGTCCTCGGTCTTTTCTGTACAGCGACCAACGTTGAACTCCAGGGGCTATCAATAGCTGGGTCATTTCAACCCTCAACATAATTGTTGAGTAGTACTCGATAATCCTCTATCACCCTTTACATTTATTATATAACTAACCTGATTGAGTCTTAACACACACTAGGGGACAGAAAAATATCAATATTATATACAATAAAACAAACTTGCTTCCTCAAAGAATCAGAGGGGGGATCCAGATATTCGCTGCTGTGCTCAAGTACAATTCTCAAAGTTGGCTCTGTATAGAGAATGCGTATAGGAATGCCACCTTCAATTATATGTGTTTTATGGCCAAAAGTGTCTTTGTGTCAACCTCGCACCTCCTTAATTGGGTGAGGATGACCTTACACCCCACTGACGTTGCCATTTTCTTTAGTCTTGGCCTTAGCTGCCTCGTGGTATCTCTGACAAGTTCAAAAGCCCACTTTTTTTTCTTTTTTTTTTTGTCTTTTTTTGCATTATTAGTTCCATATTATAAAGATTTTTTTTCTCTAATATATAAAGCAAAAACTAATTGAGAATTATTATCATTTTCAGCCTGGGGAGGCAAAACCGCCAGTTGCAAGTAGTTCAGAGTCCAGTTCTTCAGATGAGGAAAACGATGAGGAGGACGGCGATGAGGCAGAAAGTGGTGATGAAATCACTCAGCTCGCCCACCAACTTGATGGAGGAGCATCAGGACATGATATTTCAATATCGGAACATTTACAGGTTTGTTAAAAAAAAATAATCTTTTGTAATCAATTAATTTAAAAATGGTTAATTTTCAGGTGATAAATCAGGAGGATCTTGCTGCTATTTTACCTGATGTCGGCGGCGGCGGCGGTTCATTTGATGGTTTCGAGGATGTTGCCGGTGAAGCGCCAAGACCCTCGACAGGCTCTGCCGCCGTCCAACCGCCCGCCAGCATCGCTTCATCTTCCTCAGAATCTGACACAGAATATCAAGAGCAGCTGGTAAGCGAGGCCATCTCAAGAATCCAGGTTGACTCCGACACAGGGAAAGGAGCAGAGGGATCACAACCACAGCAGGGGAGTCCCACGACTACCCAAGACGAGGAGTCTGATAGGGAAGAGGTTTGTTTTTAAATGTCAATTAAATATATAAATCCCCTATCCCCGACATTTGGCGTTTGTCCTCCCCTCCCTAACCTGTGGGTCTTAGGTGGGATTCAAAAAAAGAATCCACATGTGGATTGGCAACATATGTGATGTTATTATGTTATGCTTTTCATCCCACATGGGTAGCCTTTATAGCCGTATTTTTTTTCAACCATGCGCATTTACAAACGTAAGGTATGTTTTGTTTCTATGAATTTCAATAATTTTCATTGCTTGTATGGTCTGCTTTTGTGTGTGTTAAATGGTTGAACTTTTATACAGCCAGAGGATACAAACAATTGGCATGGAATTGAAATTTCAGGGGTGTTGTGTAAAATTCAAAAGTAATTGTTAAAAAAAACCTTTTTTTCAATTGTAAATAATCTTTAAAATAATAAAATAAAATAAACAAAATTATTGAAAGAAATTTTCCAACTGATTCTAGGTTGGTGGAGGTTACTCCTCTAACCTCCTCGCTGATTTTGTCGAAAAGACTGAGCTTTTGTCAAGGGGAGGTACTAGCGGTACAGGAGAGGCCATGAAAGGCGACGAAGACTCACAGGAGAAGCCAAGGGGCCAGGGGAACATACAGCCTCCTCGACGACGCCGAGGCCGGCCACCGAAGCAGAACCAGTCTAAAGTTCCACAACCGTGCAGCAGCGGGATGCCCGAACTCGAGGCGTACATGCGACTTGACTGTTCACAGAGCAACGTCTCGCCAGACTCGGGCATACAAAGCGTCGCTGGCTCCCCTGCGGGCGGTCACCAAAGTCCACCTGGTTCGCCGAGGCTGCTTCACAACAAAGCACCACCTGTCTTGAAACCACAATCGCCACAGCCACAGAGCGCTTCTAAAGCTCACTGTTCAGATCGTTTATATTCACAAAGACAAAAGAACGATATCAACTTGCCTTCTGCTAATGTAAGTTATCATTACCTATTTTTTTTATTTTTATTTTTTTTGTATAGTTGTATTAACCACCAATATCTTTCCTAAACCATAAATGCTTATCAGTTTTATGTAAATTATTGGATAATTGCTTTCCATTAAAAAAATCTTGTCTAAGTGTATTAGTCTCTTGTAAAATTAAATAATACCAATTGATTTGTTTATTTAATATGTTTGTAAATTCTCCTTCTCATTAGGTCTTTATTTAATGAAATTGTTGTTTTTCAGGATAAAATAACCAAACTGCACTCATCAGAACGAGAACTGAGACTTGAAAACGGTGGGAAACGTGGACCCGGAAGGCCGAAAGGTTCAATGTTCGGCTTGAAGAGATTCGGACAGAAAAAGCGCGGAAGCAGGTTCAGGCGGCGTTCCGAGATTGTAAAGAAACCGGTCGTCCTCCCGCCCTCGGCCACCGAGCTCAAAGTTCCACCGTATTTCGCCGGAAGCCTTTTACCACCAGAAGGTGTCATACCTACATTGTCAGGAGACAATTCAAAAAAACGTAGAGGCCGACCAAAAAAGAACCCTCCAGTACTCGAGCCGATTCTCCCTCTTGATGTCAAGAGTCGAGACGGCTCTAGGAAAAGAAACTCCAACTCGGTTACCCTTTCTAGAAGTACTTCAAGAAGGAAGAATTGCTCGCGAGACAACAAATGCACCAAACTCGCCCTGCCGAAAGGTTTAATGCGAAACAAAGAGCACAAGCATAAAAAAAGGAAAAAGCAGCCGAAAGAGTTCAAAATTCTCGATCCAAAGTTTTTGTCAGAAATGGAGAAACTTGCTGTTTTGTTTCAAAAATCCTGTTTTGTGGGGCCGGTCATCACCAAAAGACACCCCGACCGCCTCCCGCCAGTTTTTAAAATGAAAAAAGTACTGAAAAAACGAAAAGACAGATCACGGTACCATTCGCCGAAAGAATCGTCCGAAAAAATAGTCAGTGAAATATCCAGTAGAAAATCTAATGAAAAACTGAAAAACATGACTAAAGAGAGACCGAAGGAAAAACACCGAAGGAGAAGATCACTGAAGAGAGACAGAGGACTTAAAGAAAACCGGGAAAAACAAATAGACAAAACATCTCGTAAAGTTCAACACCTTGAATTTTCTAGTCCTGAACCAGAAAGTATTCCTGAGCTGTCAGAGCATGAGTTGTTAAGCGATGAAAAATATCTTCTTCCGCCCGTCTTAACAAAACAAAAAAATATTGCAGAAAATTCTCAGAAGGAGGCGAAGGAAAGGCAGAAAGTTGAAACATCAAACAAATCAGAAATTATCAAAGAAAAAGAAACATCCAGTGAAAATCAAATCGACCCAAAAGAAAAAGCCCAGGCGCCAGTTTTATCCAAAGAAAAGACAGATACCAAAACTGTACCTGTTCTTGTGAAAGATAAAAATCCCCCTCTACTCGTCAATTGCAATGCACCAGACCAAAAAGAAAAATGTCAGCCAAAGGATAAAACGCCGCAGATCCAGTTAAAAGAAAAAGTTCCGGTTTTGAACAATCAAAAAGAAAAATATTCTCAAATTAAAGAAAAGGGTAATGTGACGCCAAGCAGTAAAGACAAACTGTGTCCTTCGGTATCAGTACAAAAAGAAAAAGGTGCGACTACACCAAGTAATAAAGAAAAAATCGCTTCAACTCCCACGCACAAAGAAAGGGCACAATCAGTTTCAAGCCCACAGCAAACGCAGACCAACAGTAAACGAAGAGTGAAGAAAAGCACAATTGAAATACCAAAGGTGAGTGTACTAAAAAATTCTAATATTTAATTACATTTGTCTTAATTTATCATGTAAAATAATTTTGTTTAATTTTTTTAGAACCGAGATAAACCAGAACAGCCAAGTAATAATAACGAGCAGAGGCTTCCGTTGAAAAAGAGGCATTATCATGTTTCTAGTACACCGTCTGCCATTAATGAATCCATGTCAGCTGATTCTGAAGAAAAATCAGATTCTTCTCTCGATTCGAGCGAGATAAAACAATATTCCAGAACGTCCGTTTCACCAGGTAGCAAGAGCCAGTCAAGGCATGACAACAAGAAGTCGGAAAAACAACCTGAACCTGATGAAAATGCCGAGAAAAAAGAAGTCGTTGTCGTCTCACCGAAGAAACGCCACTGCATCGAACTAGAGAAAAAACAGGGCCCAGTTGAAAAATCAAAAACCAAAGAATTGCTTGTGAAAAGAATGCCACCGAGGAATTGCAACTCGTCGCCGCAGCTGCCTAAAAGGATGAGTACAAGGCAAGCGGCTGTCAAAGAACAGGAAGCTGTAAAGCCTCCTTCGCAGGTGCCTAAAAGGTCTCAAAGGATTCAAAACGAGTCAAAAGAACAGACTTGTGAAAGCCCAAGAAGAACAAAGAACCTCGAAGACGAAAGCAAGAAAGAAGAAATTTCTAAATTAGAACCAGAGAAAGTCGAAACAGCTAAACCTCTACTCTCTTCAACACGATCTAAAACCCAAGCTCTAATGCCCATTTCGGAAACTCAGAAGAGTGCGAAGACAAAATTAGAAAAACCATTATTGGAGATTTTTGACCCCTCTTCACACGTTGAAGAAGAAATGCGATCATTAAGGAGCTTGGAAAACAAAACTTCTGATGTCGTAAGTAAAATTAAAAATAAATTGCTTCCGAACGAGGAGATAAATTTGGAGGATGAGTTGAAACGACTGAAAAGACCTATGGTCGAAGAGGAAATAAATGAACAAGTTAAAAAACCCAAATTGATCTGTGATTTGAGAGTCCATGTAACAAAGCTTTCCGCATCTGACGTGGTCCTTCATAAAATGTCAACTACAGGCATCAAACTCAAAGGTAAAAGAAAGAAAATCAACAGGACTGGATTTCCTGCTAAGAAAAAGAAAAAGAAGAAATTAGACCTTGATGTCGGAGACCAGACGGACCCGCTTTCTCCTCCGGTTTTAGAAGATCAAACAAAATTGACTGTAAACACAGAGCATGATTCCAGTACTCCTTCACTTTCCCCGATTCTTAAATACAAAGAGAAGCCTGCGGACTCAATGGACGAAGATGTAAAAGATGAAACTCCCGAGTCAAAGGTCGTTACACCAAAGATTCAAGAAGAAGCGAAACCAAAAGAAGATTCAGAGCCTGAGTTGCCTCAAAAAGAAGACAAACAGAAAAAAGAAGAGCTAGCGGCAAAAGAAGAAAAACCTGATCACGAAGAACAGACTTTGGAAAAACCCGAACTTAGACCGGCCAGTAGAAGGATTATGGAGCTGAAAGCGAGGACCGAAGTTGGAGAAAAGTGCAAAAGGAAGCCGACTATCACTGAAGATACTCCTGCTTCATCCCAAGATGAAGATGATAAAAAGAAAGAACCGTTTGAAGCCAAACCTACAGTCAAGAGGGCTAGAAAATGCAAAGATGAAGCAGAAGATAGGTAAAACAAAAATTTATCGTATGTTTGAATAGATTTTTAACTAATATGTTTCTACAGCGATCCTGAGTCATTGCTCAAGAAGAAAAACATCCCACGTTTGAGGAAAAAGTACTTACCTGCAGGACTTTTCTCAGACTATTATAAGGAAGACGAGTAAGTAAATTATTTTCTGTTTATTTTGTTGTTTTTTGTATGTCTTTAATCATTTATTTATTTTTTTAAATGTAGGCCGAGGAAATCATCAGGAATGACTGATGATGAAAGAAAGAAGACTAAAACAATTGTGAAAAATGAAAATGAAAACACAGTTTTACCACCGCCAGCATACGTTGCCAAGTGGGTGAAACAGAGACGGCTTTCATTTCAGCTTCCTTACGACCTGTGGTGGCTCCACATTAATCACCAACTACCTGGACGAGAAGACGTGCCTTCATGGAATTATAAAAAAATAAGAACAAGTACGATGAGATTTTTTTTTACACTTTATATGGTTTTTTTAATTAATTAATTTATCTTTTTTCAGATGTCTACTTTGATGTGAAACCTTCATTCAGTTATGAGGCCCAGGCCTGTAATTGTAAACCAAATAGCAATCCAGGATGCGGTGATAGTTGCATCAACAGGATGGTGCTTGCAGAGTGCTCACCTCAGTTATGCCCGTGTAAGGAAAAATGTTCTAATCAGAAAATACAGCGTCATGAATGGGCACCGGGTTTGGTTAAGTTCATGACGAGGGACAAAGGCTGGGGGATAAAGACCAAATACATGATACAAAAGGATGTTTTTATTCTTGAGTATGTCGGTGAGGTCGTAAGCGACCGCGAGTTCAAATCTAGAATGGCTTCGAAATACCAAAAAGACACCCACCACTACTGTCTGAATTTGGATAGCGGTTTGGTCATCGACGGCCACAGGATGGGCGGAGAAGGCAGGTTTGTGAACCATTCGTGTGAGCCGAATTGCGAGATGCAGAAGTGGTGCGTCAACGGTCTCTTCAGGATGGCTCTGTTCGCGTTGAGGGATATCAAAGCGGACGAAGAGTTGACGTACGACTACAACTTCTCGCTATTCAACCCAACGGAGGGGCAGCCTTGCAAGTGCGGCTCTACGAGGTGCCGTGGCGTCATCGGTGGGAAATCCCAGCGGATGTCCATTCAAGGCACTCTCATTCCTAACGTCGAACCTGACAAAACTACAGTTGGACGTGTCAGAAAAAATCTCGCTGTAACTAAAAACCGCAGGAAGAACAAATCTGTTGATAAAAAGCAAGGGAAATTAAAAGAAACTAAGGTAAAGTTTATCTTTTGTTTTATACTATATAATATCTCATCAGTAATCATTTTTTTAAATATAATTTATAGAATTCGAGCAAAGAAATGCTGGCAGCAAACACTCTCGCAACAGTAGCAGCGAGGTTGAGCCATCTCTCATATGTTAAACCGTTAACATCACAGCAAAAAAGTTTGGTCCTTGCAAACAAGTGTTTCTTAATCAGAAACATAGAAAAGGTAATAATATTTTTTTAATTAAGCACTACAAGACTGTAAAAAAAAAACTTGGGAGCTTAAAAGTCCCAGCTAGAACTGGCTATTTTGTTTATAATTATTTTCCTACTTCGTGAATTTAATAAAAAGCTTGACGATATCATGTCTGAATCGAAACTTTTACAATACCAAATAATTTCTACGCTGTTTCGTCTACTGCGTACTTCAACCAAATCCTGTAGGAGACATCAAAAGCTATACCAAATTCATTGTCGAAGAAGGCTTGATGTAAGAATGAAGCCCATGCTATTGATGTTAGCATATGAAATATTTTCGGATTCTTCTGGATCCTCTGGATTGGAGCCATATTTGTGATATCATAAGACTCCACTGATGTAGAGGGCTCTGAAGTAGGCGCCGTAAAATTTTGTCATCGCCACTGATCAATTTAGTCAAGCTAGTTTGAGGTTCTTTCTTCCACAGTTGATAGAGATGTGATCTCTATGAACCCAAAATTGCCTTTTGGTCAGTCACAAATTGGTTTTAATTTAGTTTTTTCAATCTTTCACTTTTCCACTCTTGGCATTTTTATTTCTAGACGTCGTAAAAAAAAATTTATAATTCAAATGTATTATTTCCACTATTAAACATAGGTAAAGGTATGGTAGCCAAGTGGTCAGTGTGATAGATTCTCAGCTCTAGACCCTGCAGTCGTGGGTTCAGTTCCCACTGTCGCCCTTGCCCCCTTTCTTTCACGCAACCCTTACCCCCCCCCCTAAAAAAAGAAAGCTCATTGCGTATGATCAATCACATTCCTTGGAAATATTTAGAGTTCATAAGACAAAAAAAAAGTTAACTAGCACTCTATGCTGATAAATAAAGTTTATTTCGTCAAAAACCATTAACTTCTTTAGATGCTATCTCATGTAAGCATAAATAGTGATAATCAAGGGTTTCATGTGCACAGGTAAAGTGAGGAAAAGATTATGAATTATTTTTATAATCACTGAATCATTATCAGTATTACTTTTATATTCATAAACTTCAGATACAGTAGCCTCTCAAAAGTACACATTTTTTATGATGCAACTTTTCTTCCCTCCACCAAAGTGGAAAACGTACATTGAATTAAAAATAAAATTTTCATTGCAGGTCAAACGTGCAAGAGAAAGGTTGAAACAAGCAGTGAAAGGAGGTGCCATCGTGTTGCCGGAGCATTTGCTTCCAGCAGCTAGTTTAGACCCTGGAAGTATCGCGCCTAGCCAATCAACGCCATCTTTAACAGCGCCGGCCAAACCTGAGTCAAACTCGCAGGAAGTCTTCATGACACAAATGACCGCGCTTTCCTGTCCGAGGTCCATGAGGACGAGACGCCTGGCCCAAGCGGAGGACAACCCAGAAATGACAAAGACTGCAAAGCTTGCCTGTATTTTCAAAGACCTTTACAATGAAGTCGTCAACGCAAAAGGTAAAATTAATAATAATCCTGTGTAATTATAATCAATTCTAATCTTGGAAAAATATTTTAGAAGAGAGTGGAGAGCTCCTTTCTTCACATTTTATCACCCTCCCTTCAAAAAGGAAATACCCTTTGTATTATCAGCGAATCCAGAACCCCATCGATTTGAATATGATTGAGCACAACATCAACACCGGGATTTACAAAACAGTCGAATCCTTTGATCAGGACATGATGAATCTCTTCAAAAATAATGTGCGATGGTATGGTCGTACTACGGATTTGGGCATCGCAGCAACACGTTTGAGAAAGGTTATTACTTTTTACACATGCCTGAATATTTAATCTCTGTACTGAGAATTTGCTTTACTTTTTTTTTAGATTTATAATTTATCCAAAATTGAAATACTACCTAAGCTTGAAGAGCTGCTGGGAACTAGTCCACCAAGTTCTTTTATTCCCGCTCAGGAAGATCCAGGTAAGATTCAGATTAATATCAAAAGAATATTTTATTGGACAATATTTTGTCCTACAGGTGCGGAAGAGGAGGACGTTATCAGATGCATATGTGGTCTTTTCCGCGATGAGGGTCTGATGATCCAATGCGAACGCTGTATGGTTTGGCAACACGCCTATTGTGTTAGGGCGAACCCTTCGGTTGAAAGTTACCTCTGCGAGAGGTGTTCGCCTCGGCATGTCGACGTTGAAATCCCTTCTCAGGAGGAATCGACAACCCCTGGGCAAACGAATTACATCAGCCTGCTTCGAGGTGACATGCACCTCAAACAAGGTAAGTTTATTTTAAATATTCTCTTTAAAATTTTGTATTTCAAAAGATAAAAATTAAAAACAAATTATTTTTCTAGGCGATACAGTTTATGTGTTGAGAGATATGATTAACGAGGAAAGCACAACTGTTCCCAAATCGAAGCATACTTACAAAACCATCAAAAACTGGAAATTTATTGATTGTGATATATTTAAAATTGAAAGGCTGTGGAAAGATGAAAAGTAAGTGAATCTGTTTCAGCTTGTAGATAAATAAATCAGAAAATTGTTTTATTTTATGACTTTTTTTTTATTCAGAGGGGATAGGTTTGCCTTTGGGCACCACTATCTCAGGCCACACGAGACATTTCATGAGCCTACGAGAAAATTCTTTCCCAATGAGCTGATGCGAGTCCCACTGTATGAAGTCGTCCCAATAGAACTCGTCATGGGGCAATGCTATGTCCTCGACCTGAATACATTTTGCAAGGGGCGTCCTGTCGGCTCGGACCCTGAACACATCTACATCTGCGAGTACAGGGTCGATAAATATGCCCGCATATTTGCCAAAATACCGAAACCGAAGCACTCCAACATCTGCACGAAATCTTACGCCTTTGAGATGTTCGACACTCGCCTCAAACCACAGCGGAACTATGCTGTATGTATAATTGTATTTATTATGTATACTTTTTAAAAATATTTTACTTATTTTAAAAATAAAAGATTATTTAATCTCATTGTATGGTATTATTTTTATAGCCTCATGGTGTACCGCAAGAAGGAAATGTCTCCCGTGGTAGAGGAGGCCGAAGTGCTCAACACACAGAAGAGTCTAAAGAAAAAGAAAACGCCTCATCTGCAAGTGCTCAGCTGACGTCTTTGACACTGATGAACTTACAGAAAAAGAAGCAAACCACTGAAAACCCTCTTGAACTGGTAAATGCTTATTGATATTTTCCTCGTACGAATTTGCGGCTAATTTTCCCTTGAACGTTATAGAAAGAGAAGAAGAAAACGCGTCTGAATAAATTGTTGTTGCGAATGCTGAGTAAACTGCCTTCGAAACAACCGCTGGACCTTTCTTACCTGCTCGAGCCAGGGCGGAGGCAGAGAAAGAAGCCTCCACTTTTAGCTTCATGAGAGTGGCTTCTTAATTGAAGGTGATTTATTTATTTTATTTTATTATTTTGTGTGACAAGCTCCTATCTACCAAAAAAAAGTAATTCCTTTTGGGTATTGGGTATAAGGGGGTCATAATCAATTTATAATTATTTTATTAATTAATTTTTTTTGCCTTATGATCTATGCATATTAGCCATGCTGACGAATTCTTATATGTGTGTTCAAATTGGGGGGGGGTTTATTGTGAAAAAAGGGCCAGAGGCGACGGTGGGAATCGAACCCACGACCGTGGTGTGAGAGTCTCTCATGCTAACCACTCGGCTACCGCGGTCCCCACTAATTAAAATTCCATGGGCTAAATGGCAGGATTTGATCCCAGAACCACTAGTGTGGCAAATATGAGTGGAAACTCTAACAACTCAGCTATTGCAGTCCCCAAATACAAAAAGAACCTCTGCTAAAAAAGACGTTACATTCAATGAAGAATTGCAGATATTTAAATACCTTTTCTGAATGTCTTCACCAGGCCCTTGGAAGACTGAAGAGACAATGGCATCATTTCTGGATCCTGGATATTCTGAAAAAAAGAAACCTTTGAAAAAAAAACAACCATTAAATGTGAATCTATATGAGCCCAGTTGTTTTCATCAAAAACCCCAACATTCAGGATATTTAAATATTTTTAAAATTATTACACAAGAAAGCAAAAATTTAAATATTTTAATTACTAAAAGATCTTATCTAACTTGGTCAGAATAAGTCCATCCTTTATATTATTTTTATTTAATGTTTTTAGCATTGAAAATGTTTTGTTTGTCCTATTTAAATCCAATATAATGTTTCCTCCTCTAATATAGAGGTGAAAAAGCAGACAATAGGGTAGAGGGTTGGGAAGGGCAAAGGCGAGAAGTAAATGAAAGTAAGACCTTCCCAATGAGACGGAGTGTGGCCAAATGGTTTTCCAGAAAAATGATTTTGTCGCATTTTCCCAGAAGTTTGAGAGAGAGGCATGACTATTTTTGAAATTTTGAATTCAGGGTTTATTTTGGATGTGAAAAAAATTAAAGCTTGTTTCTTGCACAAATAATATTTTATCGTAATTATTTTTTTTACTTTGCTTGTTCAGAAATATGTATTTCAATATCAACAATCTTCTTTTTGTTTTGTGTAACTTTTTATGCTTCTGATCCCATTTATGAGGCTGAATCAAATATAAACAGGATTCATCTTTAAAAAATCTAACTTTGTATATACAAATAACTGACAAAAATATATTATTTTTCTACATATTTGCCTGCCAGAGTAATTCATTTTTTCCTTCGGATTGGGAGGTTTTTTTTATTATTATTATTATTATTATTTGTGTTAAATTAGAAGGATTAACTTTATTTAATTTTTTTTTCTTTTTCTTCTTTAGATCTTTTTTTCTCTGAGGAGATCCACGTAGTTACCATAAATACATAACGGTAAATCACAAATGTACAGTATACGATCAGAATATCCTAAAATCAGTTCATCCACATTATTTACCGATTGTAAAAATAGTGTCAAATGGTGAAATTTTATGCATCTTCTCCCATATAATTAGTATCAACCTGCAATATTTTAATTTTTTTATTAGGGATAGAGCCAATTTGAGAAAAAACGATCGTTCTTTTACTAGTGATAACGGCGCATTGTGGAGTTGTTTGTTGGGCTCTAGCAAGAGAGGCATTTTNTATTATTATTATTATTATTATTATTATTATTATTATTATTGCATCATTATAAAAAATCTTGGGACTTTCTCGTAGCCATTGTAAATGCTACCGCTTCATTCATATTTTTCATCACCACATTTAAAATATATATATTTAAGTAAAATAATTCCTGGCGTATCGGAAGGAGGGCTAAATGTCCAACACCAATTCGGTGTCATTGATGAGGAGGGTCAAACCACTCGCAACAGCAAAGGTCAATCATATCAACCCACCTACCACTTTACGATAGATTTTTTAATTAATTAATTTCAATTAAAAAAACCATAGGCTCTGCTGGGATTTGAATTACCTAAAGCAGGGAGGGACCGCAGTAGGCTTGTTGACCCTGCAGTTGTGTGCTCAATTCCCACTGTCACTCCTGGCCCTTTTTTCATGCTACCCTTCCCACCAACTATATATGATAAAACAATCAACGGAATCATAATCTTGCTAATAGACAAGTTCATAAGACCATTTAAAAAATTACCTAAAAAATTTTTCCTCAATTTTTTCAAGTCATTTCAAGTCCAAGTCAGACTTCTAATATTTATTAACCTAGCACTACCAGCCAAAAATGACATTCAAATCGCAGATCCCACGTCTGTATCCCCTTGTAATGGAGTAAAATAATTGGAATTATGCTGGGAAAATAAAATTGTTTGGTCATAAGGTATGTCTGATTAATAATAAGACGAATTATAAAAAAATGACTTATTTCATTTTCTTGGGTATTGTAATCCCCTATAGGCTTTATTTGTTTTTCAAATCCAATTAGATTTGATGCCACTTTAATCCTTAGACTATACTAAATGAATCTATAAAAAAAGATCTCGTCTTGCCTTCAGTTTTGACTCCGGGTTTGGTTAAACAACATGATGGTAAAATTTGAAATTTTCGTAATATTACACCATTATTGGAAATGTAAGTTTTCCCCGCCGAAACTACATTGGGGTTGCAAGTTGAAAGAGCCTCGAGAGGAGGGTTCAGGGCGAAAATCATCATTTGATGAGGAAGCTCTTTTGAGGCAGACCCAACAAAAAAAGCTCGGGAATTGCTAGAGAGCTTGTAGTTTCCCAATCCATCATAAAATACAGACTGCAAAACTTGGGGAAAGTGAATGACTCATTAGTTGACCATTGACACCAAGTAGAAATCTGTCAACATCTTTTGAAAAATCCAAATGATCTTCAATTCATCAAAAGTCTAGTTACTTGCGATGAAAAGTGGATTTATGGAGAAACCCCAAGACCAAGAAACTGGCTAGATTGCAATCAGCCTGCTCTACCAGTCGCTAAACAAGGCCAATTCAACAAAAAGACAGTGCTCTCTGTATTTTGTAAATAAGAAGTTATAACAATTACAAATTCATTTAGAAGGCCAAACCATTGAATCAAAACTTTATAGTTACAATGTTTATGTTTATGTTATGTTTTGACCCAGCATTACCCAGGATTAAATAGAAATGACATTTTATTTCACAAGATAACGCCCAACCACACATTTCTCGTTACACACAAAAAAAATCCAGAAATGGATGGAATTTTACTTCCCCTCCAACCTGCATACTGAGCATGTTCCGACACCCATCTGTTTCAGTCTATGGCTCATTATCGTCAAGGGAAAACTTTTAATTCTCTGGATGAGATTCAAAATGGAGTTGCAGAATACTTCCATTGAAAACCCAAAGAAGTGGTTTCTTGAAGGAATCCAACACTTGTCAACAAACCATAGAACACTACAGTATATACTTTGAATTAAAAAAAAAAATTGTGTCAAAATAAAATTATTTTTAAATTAGCAAGAAAATGGTCATTTTTTTATGACTCACCCTATTAGAAGTTTCTGGGGAAACTTATTTGTATACACAATATATTTAAAATGGAAAATTATTTGTGTTAAAATTGAACTTTAAAATTTGTTACATGTTATGATTTTTTTCCAGGTTGATGGCGTTCGTGAAGCTTCTTTTTTTTAAATCCCATTACCAAAAATATGCATTGTTCTCAAGTTTTTCTCTTTCATTTGATTGAAGTTGAGTTTTAAAGTATTTTTAAAAGGTATGTTACCAGAATTTTAACAGAGGCAAACGACTCGTTTATTAGAAAGTATATTTTAAGGAAAAATTTTGTGATCGAATGTGTCATTTTTTTTTAAATTTTCATTTTCTCCCTCTATTCTCAGAGCGTCTGAGTGATAATGAAAAGTTGAGGATCTTGTTAAACTTAAGCAGTGTTTGTACAAATTTTTGTAAATAACAATTTTAGCCCGTTCTCCCGGGTATTTTAATTGGGAGTTGAAAGACCCTTTTGTAAAGGCTGTATTTATTTTGGGGAATCAACAGGTTTTGTTTTTTAAAAGAATGGTCCTCTTTAAATGAGGCGACTTATTACCAGTGATTTTTAATTGTAGCAATATTTATCTTTTCTTAGTTGTTTAGAGGTTTCTTTATGTTTTAACTATTAAGATATATGGTCAAACCAGTGAAAGAACATAAATGTTATTGTAAATAATTAAAATACTAATTTAACGAGCTTACTGTTGGTTTTTGTGGCAAGAAGCACGCAATTTTTTGATTTTTTATATCTAGATAATGAGGCTTTTAGTGTCTTCCTTAAGCCCTAATCAGATAAGTCGAGTCATTTTTTAAAAACTCGTTACATTATTATTATGATTCTCTTTACTTGTAAATATGCATATAACACTATGAATTTTATTATTTATATCTATTTGAAATGTTGAAAACATGTTTTTCTTTGTATCGTTTAAATTCGAGGCATTATCTCTTTGAGGTATTAAGTTTAATTGGTGAATTTAAATTTTCACAAATTGTTAGCCACTTTGTACATACAATATTTTTCATACACAATTATTTTTGTGAATTTAAATGTCGCAAGTCTCTCATGTTTGATCTGTTAAGGCCTTTTCTTTTCACCTGACCTTTTTTAACTTGTTGATATTCCCTATTTTTTGAAGTGAGAGTCATATATTCTTAAAGTATATATTTTTACAAAAATAAAACGAAAGTATAAATATATTAAAAGTAAGTACAAAAAATGTTACATTTGTATGTTGAATTATTTTAATAATGATTCACAAGTTATATTTAAAAAGAAAAAATTATATTTAAAACTACTAAAAAAAAGTAACAAAACAAAAAAAGAACACTTAGATACTTTCAGTGTTTGGTGTTTTTGTAATTATTATCATAAGGGCATGAATAACATCGTCGGACAGAAATTTCTTAGAGTGGAATTTAGTTTTACAAAAAGAGAACGCTTGGAACAGAAAAATGAAACGATAATGTAAAAGTTCTAGTCAAACCTCGTGCACTTAGCTTCTCTTTCTTTTCAGTTTTGCGATGGACTCTTAAATATTTTTCAAAATGCCAATTATCCAGGGTTTTCTTCATTCAAATTTTCTATTTCACCTACTCAGAAATAAAAAGTTGGCTTAGATCAAACAGGCTGGAAATCCTGACCAAAAAAAAACAGACACAGTTGTTACAAAAAAGAAAAAGTGCCAAGTGTTGTCCTACTTTATATCTTTGCTTGTGTATAAAAAAAATCCACACTATTCATTTGTATCTAACTTTTGGAATTTCTGAATCGTTTTTAAGGAAGGTTTTTGGAGTTACCCTTTAGAGATTAAAATGAAAGCTAAGGGAAAATGTTTTTTAAAAAAATGTTCTAACAGTTTTTTAAATTTCATCCTTTTCCAGCCTCGCAAAAAAAAATTTAATTGTTATCATAGCCTAGGAATGATAGTTTTATTAATATTTTGTTTTTTATTCGATAACGAAATGTTTTTATATAAACCATAGGGATTATACTCACCGATTTCCACTATTTCAGTGTTAGTTGTTTCTGTCTTTTGTTGTGCCCAAATGCAATTTTTATAAAAAATTGTCATCTGCTTCAGTAATTTTTTCTTTATATGTACAAAAGTATTTTTTTTTTTTTTAAGTTAATTTATTTGTATAAATGCATAAAAGAACAATCCATGTTTTTTCCTCTGTAGCATCACAATAACAAAGGAGCAAAGAAAAATGTTACAATTAATTTTTATCGTGTTTACTTTTTTTTTAATCTACCTTCACCCTTTCCTCATCCCTAACAAAATCACTCAGAAAGACAACAGTGACTTTTAAAGACTCATTCTCACGTTTCAACTTTTGTTGATCAATTATGAGTAAAATCTAATGTGAGAGTCTTATATTAAACTTTTGCCATTCAAGTTGTGAGTCATTCCTTTCAAGTTGAAACATGTCAACATCTCAGTTGAGAAAAAATGTTTTTTATTATTTCATCAAAGAAATGGATATTGTTGGATTTACTACTAACGAATTAAGACATTTGCCTCAGATTACTAGACGATATTTGGCATCTTTGGCACAAAAGTTGGCATTAATAACTGTAATGGATGTGTTTGCTAAAACTTTTAATATGTTATCATAAGCATTACTCTCTTTGGAATCACTGACTTTATCATATATATTGTAAAGTCAGACTCACCATGTTCAGTGACTGATCTGGGTTATAAGCAAGGCAAGACCCAAACTCATTTCTGAATACTGAACTAGCTAAATTAGCTAATAAGCTAATAATTTTTAACTAGCACATTAAAAACAACCAAAATCCTTCATATCATTTTAAAAACTGGTTAATAATATAGCTAAACTTGGTTTAGCTATATTATTAAACAATTACATTCATTTTACAAATACTCAACAAAAAATTAAAAATATGAGTTGATATTTTTGTTGGCTTTTTACCATCCTGGTGAGTCACATGATAGCCATAGAAGATGATGAAATGTTCAAACATCTCTCAGGTCAAAACTGCTAGGAGGACCAGGGTGATTGAAACCGAACTACTGAAATTGCTTTGGTCCGGCAGGAATTGTGCCATCTTCAGTGATTAATCTGGGTTATAAACAGGGCGAGGACCAGTCCTACTAATGAAGACCAAACTACAAAGGATGGGCACATGAAAGAAATTTATATTTTTAGTGGATTCCAACCATTTGTCTATTCTTGTTGACTTTGCCTGTCATACTACAGAACCTCTGAAGATGACGAAATAAAAAACACATATGGCAGACTAAAACAGCAAAGACTGAAAAGGGCCAAGATGATGGATACTAAAAAATGGAGGTTTAGTAGTGAAGCACTTTTGGCTTGTACTTTTTGCAGTTCCTTAGTTCAGTTTAATTGGCTCGATCCTTCTTTTAAGGACGTACTATGTCATTGACTGTTGTTGCTACAATTCCTTTCCATGGGTTTTGTTTGTTTTCCAGGTTTTGTCTCCATTGGGCGGTTGCTTCGCTTTCAAAAATGATATGTGGCTGATTCTTCTTCCTCATTGAATAACCTACAGGTGTGGTCATAGTTAAATATACCTATGTTGTGTAGATGTTTTCTTAGATGCCAGTGACCAGTAGTCATATCACTCCTCAAGTTTAGCCCTCTCTAAATGATTACTCTTGGTATTGGTTGTTTTAGCATAATCTAACTACCTCTATAGTTTATCGACTTCTCCTTTTTAGGACTTTTAGATCCTTGATTGATGGAGGAGTCTATGTTTCTTATCCGTAGAAAGATTCAGGGGTTTGGGAGGGATATGATGTTGCACCAGTGATTTGGTGTTGCACATCCCCCAATGGCTAGTGTGTCGGCCTTTTTGTTACCCAATATTCCTTTGTGCCCTGATACCCAAGATATCATCAGGTTGTTGTTTCCTCGATTTGCAGGAGTCACTGACTAATTTTGATTAATTTTTTTACATGCTAATGCTAATGGCCGCTTGGCTATCCATACTTAAATAACTTTTTTTTTAAATTTTCTAAGGCCTAAGCAATGAAACTTCACCTTTTGAAAGATTGAGGTGTACATCACTTACAAGCTTGATTGCTCATGTTTTGGGCTTGTACAAAAAACACCTGATGCATTCCTTCGTTTGTTTTGGAGCCTCTGAATACCATATTGTAATTGAGTTTCTCACGAATTATTATTTTTCTTTATAATCTGTTGAGACTTTACAGGATGTTAATGATGAGACACATATTTATATGTATTCTACATACTTTTTTCAATAATTAAAAAGGTTAAAATTTCAATGGGATCCACAATTAACTCTACAAAGAGATGAATTTGGTCACTATTGTCGTACATGCGACTGCTCAAAAATGAATAGGGATATTTCCATTTTGTAGTATTTACATTCCATAGCATTTTATTGTTATTACAATTGGCATTAAAATTTACTATAAATTATTTTTACTGAAGGAAAATTTAATTAAGAGATTTTGAAAAAAAAATAAAAGGTAATTTCATAATTTTGTTTATTGGACATAATTTGTTAAACACTTAATACTGTGTATATTGTCCTCTGTTAGCTAAAACCAATGTGCACCTATTGGGCATACTGGTTGTCACTAATTTCATAAGGAATTTCACTTCATAGAAGTTGCAACACTACACTCAGTTGTTACAGGTCAACTGGCGATCAAAAAACCTCTTCATGCATCCCACATGTGCTCAATGGGATTGAGGTCTGAAGACAATGGGGGAAAGGGCTGATAGGAAATCCCAGGTTTTCTAAACAATGATGAACAAGCATGCCTCTATCTGGCATTGTCATCCAGAAATCGAAAATCCTTGCCAATGAGACCCCTGGTTTGAGGGATGTATTCCTCAATAATTTATTGAACATAACGGACTGCAGTGAGGTTGTTTTCATCAATATGGAGTTGTTCGTACTCCAGTGTAAATCCCAGCCCAGACCATTACACCTCCTCCAAACTGCACTCAAAGGAGCATGAACTGGGGCATTGTACACATCCCCTGATCTCAGTAGACTCTTCAGCACCTTCTAGCACTGTACAGACAGAAATGCGACAAATCAGCAAACTAAAATCGTGTTTCTTCCATATTCTCCTGAGTTGCTAGTGGCATGCTGTTGATGCAGATCGCCTCAAAAGGGGCAAACGATGTGAGGCCAACTTTGATAAAAACATCTTGCACTTCATTTAGGATTCGGTGGGCACTGTGGAAAGAGTTCCATCTTGCAGTAGTGACAATGTTTCTGTCCTCCCTAATGAGCTGAGATCCACTACCAGACCTGCTATTGGCACTTCCAGTCCCTCGAAATGGGGCTAAAGCCCGGGAGACGACGCTCTGAGAAACGCCAACTGCCTCTGCGATATCCACTTGCTGTTGACCTCGTTGACTCATTCCCACAATAATATTGCAAATTTCTGGTTCAAGATGAAGCCTTTCCATGGTTAAAGAGAATACAACTACATTATAATGGGAAAAGATGTTTGTTTACAAAATGAGTAATCTTCTTAAGTAAATCCATTATTAAAAATGAGGATTAACATAGTTTTTGGTTTGTATTTTCTATTTTGTCTTACCCAACTAACAAGAATATATTGGTTACTTTAATTGAAATTAATTAATTCATTTAGAGGTCTAATTGACCATATTAATTATTTCAATTGATTATTCTTTTTATGCAAGGTATTGGTTGAGATAAAAAGTCGGTGTTACGAGCGAGATTCGAACCCACCACATTCGGCTCAATGTGCCGCTGCTCTAACCATTTGAGTGACTTCGATCCACTCGAACACCAACTCCCCATCTCAACCTACAACCTGTCCCACTTTACCTTTTTTTTTTTGCCATTTTTCAAATGTCGAGTAATCAGGATTCGATTCTCAGCGACTTATGAAAATGGCCACGGAGCTGCTTTATTAATAGAATAAATTACAAATATCCCTTTTCATTTTTGAGCAGTTTAATATAATAAATAAAATTTATCTAAACAATAACATTTTACCTTGTAATGACTTATAATTTTGATTATTTATGTATATTACTAAATTTACGATGATGTGACGACAGGAGAGTGCGATTTAGTGCCATCAACTTCTTCACCACAGCCTTCTTCATCTTGGTCTTCATAGAATAAATTAACGACTTTTATATCGTGCTATATTTGGTAAATAAAATTTTTATTTAATAATTGTAGAGCAATAGTTTTGTATAATTATTTGGTAAAAAGAAAATCTATTAAAGGTAAAGAGGAAAATGTTTTGTGTCGATTATGGTATAGTGACCTTGATAAAAAAATCTAAATTTCTAATCACTAAACGTATCGAAACAATCGATGTATTTGATCGATATTGGTAGAGGTTTCGAGCTTGTTATCCCTAGGTTGGAACAAGTTTTGAATGTCTACGTTGTTGAAAAGATCAGTTAAATTGTACGTAAACTTTCGAAATAGTTCCACGCCACTTTCGGTATTCCGACATAGTCGTCCGGAATTGCGAAATATTCGAGACACCAGAGTCCCAATGGAGAATCCGGTTGAAACGGCCATGGTCAAGAAGCTGACGGACGCGTTCCAACCCAAGTATCTCGAGGTGATAAACGAATCGTCGAGGCACGGCGTTCCAAAAGGCTCAGAGACCCATTTCAAAGTGGTCGTCGTCTCGTCTCAGTTCGAGGACGTCAACCTTCTGCAGGTATCAAAACATTTAAAAAAAACCGGACAGTTGGATTGAAAAACAAATCTTTTCCAGAGGCACCGAATGGTGAATAAAGTACTAGATGAGGAGATCAACGGGCCTGTCCACGCCCTGTCTATAGTGGTAAGTAGGAAACCATTGGTGTATACTACTTGTCATCGATGATCTAACGCCCTATCAGGTTTGACCACTACCGACAACATTGTTATCATGGCCGAAATTGGAAGAAAATACTTAAGATGGTCAAACCTGGTAATTGGCCAAGACCCATCATAAACCATAGTCTTGGTTGAGATGAAAAAGTTAGTGTCACGAGTGGGATTCAAACCCACGACCTTCGGCTCAATAGGCCGCTGCTTTAACCACTTGAGCTATTGTGACTTCGATCCACTCAAACTCCAACAACCTATCTCAACCTACAACCTTTCAAATTTTTCCTCTTTTTTTGCCATTTTTCAAATGTTATGTAATCAGGATTAGATTCTCAGGTACTTATCAAGTGGCCACGGGGAGCTGTTAGTGAAGTGATACTTCTTTTTATTTATTAAATCCATTATGTTTAGTGGTCTAATTCACCAAATTACTTCTTTCAATTAATTATTATTTTTATGAAAGGTCTTGGTTGAGATGAAAAAGTCAGTGTCACGAGCGGGATTTGAACCCACGACCTTCGGCTTCATACGCTGCTACTCTACCACTTGAGCTATCGTGAATTCGATCCACTCAGACACCAACTCCCATCACATACAACCTTTTGAATTTGCCCTCTTTTTGCCATTTTTTCACTTCACTAACTTCAAGCTCCCAGTGGCTACTTCATCAACGTCAAAAAATGTAATGTAAAAATAAGGCAGAAAAAAATGTAAAAGTTTTTACTTATAATATATATATATACATATTTATTTATTTATTTATTTATATATAATTTATTTATTTTATTTTTATTTATTATATATAAAAAAATTTTCCATGAATTTTTTTTCTGCTTTATTTTTACATTACATTTTTTGACGTTTTGGGAATTTACACCCATCATCAGCATATTATATTAAACAAAAAGTTAAGATGTTGATAATGGGTATAAATTCCTGAATGACAAAAATATTTAATGTAAAAATAAAGCAGGAACTTAAAAAAAAAAAAAAATAAATAAATAAAAAGGAAAAATATATATAAAAGATAAGTCTAAAAAAAAAGTCCATGTTACATAATAAAAAATATTATTAATTTTTATTTTAATAATGACAGTGAGATGTAGAATGTGGATAATTCTGCAGCTAATGTATAAACAAATCATCCATCATGGTTTGTTTGATAAAATTTAAGAGTATAGTAAATAAGCTCGAGTTTGTAATCAACAAAATAATGGCCACTCTTGCTGAATCTGGACCCCAGAAAAGGAAGGCTTTTACTTCCCTCATGCTTTGTTGTTTCTTTATAAATAAAATTGTGATAATAAATTAATTCACTACTTTCGTGGTCTGCTTGACCAATTAATACATGACAATTAATTAAGGCTTTTAAATGAGATGAAAAAAAGTCAATGGCACGAGCGGGATTCGATTGAAAAATGGCAAAAGGAGGGAAAACTCGTAAGGTGGGGTTGAGATAGGAAGTTGATGTCCGAGTGGATCGAGGTCACGATAGCTCAAGTGGTAGAGCAGCAGCATATCTAGCTGAAGATCGTGGGTTCGAATCCCACTCGTGCCATTGATTTTTTTTCATCTCAACTAAAAGCCTTAATTAATTGTCATAATAATAAATAATAATTAGCTCTTAGGTTCTGGTTTGAACCAAAATTCCATGGACTCACACTGTTCACGATTCCCACAGTATCAAATGCATACAAATTAAGAAATAAGACTTTCAAAATTTCATAGAAATATTTTCCAGCCTAGTCAGTAAAAACTCACATGCTGAAATCTAATTGTTTAGATTCTCAGGATTGCGTTATCTGAGGATTGTTCATCAGTTTCTGGCATATCACCCTACAAATTTCTAAAGTTATATTAAGCTCTTGCTATTCTTTTAATATGATTAATTAGTGGACCTGAGCTATCATTTTTGGGGTGACTAGACATCACCCAAACATCAGTCAAAAAAACTAGAGAAAACAAATAATATGTAGCATGTTTACTTTACAAAAATTTACTTTATTTGTTATTTTCAGGCAAAAACACCAAACCAATGGGAAGAAAGCGACAAGACTGTTGAACCGAGTCCAAATTGTAAAGGCGGTTTTGGAAAATAAAACAATCCAAAGAAAGAAGAAATAAGAGCGGTGATTCATTTACTTCATACTTAACAAACGTGAAATTTTTGTAATATATACACTGACTGATAATTGCAAAACATTGTGACCATCTCATCAGATGACTAATGTTGTATTAATTTTTATCGTTGAATAAACATTGTTATCTCAGTGGTTCATTTAATTTTAATTGATCTATTTGTGATATATGAACACTTTGTATTTGTGCGTTACCTAGTTCGAGCTGACCTGGGAAAAAATGACCTTTTACGACAATGCCGGTTTTGAAACGGATAAAACGACTAAAGTAAGTTAATCTGGTTTTTTCTTTAAAACCAACCTGCAACAAAACATTCAACATTAATTTTTGCTCTTAGTAATTAATATAAATTGTTTGGGTGGTGTGAAATGGTTCAAGATTATTCCAAGTGGTAAAATTATGTATTTGAGCAATAACTGCTGGTTAAGATCAAAGTAAACTTTCATCATATTTCCAAATGAATTATCCAGTTTTTTTTAGTTCAGGATCTCTTTCAGTCTTATTTATAATAGTAATGTGAGCTTCTTAGTCTTAAACCAAAGGAAAACTATTGGTGGCTCTTTTCCAAATTATGAATGACTGTAAAAAAGAAAATGATACAATTAAAGACAATCTCTCCAAAGAAAACTTTGAGTCTAGTAAAATGAAAATTATATTCACAATTGCTATTTAAAATGTTCAAGGCATTCCTGAGGAACTGAGGGTCCGTGTCATGCTGGGGTATGTACTCACCATGGAATTTGTTAAAGTGAATGGAGTCCCTCAAGGTTCAGTGATAAGCATTACACTTTTCTCGATCAAAATGTATTGCTGATGGTGTCCCCGAACAATTAGACAACCTCTGTTTTTCCTTTCGTGGAAAGACCTTACAGTGAGCAATAAAGGTTATGGGGCTGGAAGAGCCGAGGAAACCGGATTTGCCTTCTCTGTATCGAAAAATTTTTCTAGGCTGAGAAGGGCCCACAGCATTCTGCATCTCTGTCTTACGGGTGCTGTGATAAGGTATGTAGAGTCAATGAGGTTCCTCAGCCTCGCAATTGACCGAAAATTAAGATGGCAGCCATACAATGACGCTGTCGAGTTGAAGGAAAATAAAATAGTAGCATTATTAAAATTTGTCAGCCTTTTAGGCGGGGAGTGGACAGGGAGAAAATTTTTCTCCCATGAAGAAAAAAAGAAAATATTTTACTTCAGGCTGTGCTTGACCTTTTATGGTTACATGGGCTGAAAATCGTGCCTGCACAGACTTGATAGGCTCTATCAGGGTCTTTGAGCGGTCTCTGGCACATTTAGAACAAGCCCTTTAGCAATTCTATGCTGTGAGCTAGGAGTGCTGCTGCCCGAACTTTGAAGAGCTATGCAGTGTGGTTGCTGGTCAATCTGAAACATCCACTTTTGAGTGAAACCTACAAGCGACGAGGGCAAGGATGACACTGGGAACAATACTCAAGCTGGGTAACTGATCAACTCCATCCTAGGTCCTTCTGGCTGTCCAGTATGATCTTGTTAACTAAGTTGCCTACTCTACCATACCATTACCTCACTAAGTTCTTAAAACTTAGATGGAAGTACACTGGTTTTCGCCTCTTATTCACAGAAGGGTCTAAGACTGAAGAGGGTGTGGTATCTATTGCAAGGGTGTATTTACTTAATGGTCGCTTGCACCACACAGTAGCATTTACATGGTGGAATTGTATGTGATTTGGCATGCGGTTGAGGTGATTTGAGATGATGGTTTGTCTCCCTCACGGTAGTTACTGCATTGTGCTCTCGTTGAATAGATACCAAACGAAGCGTTTCGGCAAAAAGGTGGTTGTCAGGATACCCGGAAAAATAGATCTGGAGGGTAATGGCAAAACGGACTTGGCAGCTAAGGCCGGAACATCCCAACCACTGTTATACTAAAAATTCAATTAAAAAAAAACATGATTAAAAAAATGTGGCAGCATTGGTGGACCAGATCGGCGAGAAGCTCTTGCATATCAAGAGAACTGTTAATAGGTGGCAGAATATGCTATGCAAGGTTGACACACGGAGATTTACTTTTGGCCCAATGTGTCTGCATGCAGAGGAAGGTTGCTCGATGTGTTCCACCTAATTGAAGAGTGCAATTCCTTGGCTCCATACAGAGAATGTGTAGGAATGTCACCAGACATGAAAATTATTCTTGAGCATAGCAACGAGTATCTGGGCACCTTGTTATAATTTTTGGAGGAAACAAGGTTGTTTTATTGCATATAGTAGTGATAGTTTTGTGCCCCTAGTGTGCCGAGAGTGAATGTATTTATTAGCGTGAATACAAGAACTTTTCTTAAGCAAACCAACGAGTTTCTTGATTGTGTAAATAAGGACTTTTATAGAATACAGTTAATTGTTTTATTGAATGAATCTATTTATTATCGTGATTGTATTATGTGGGAGTCAACAAGGGGCAAATTCCTTGAAAGATCGAGACCCTGTTTTTCTTTACACCCTTTTCCCTGACCTATTTTTAAAATGCCCAGGGGAATAAAAAAAAAAAAAATGTAAAAAGAGATACCTATTGAAAATAATTTCTGGGAAATGTCAAGAGTGCATTTTTATCAGTTCCATTGCAAAGATAACAAGCGCATATTTGGATTGTTGTTATAAATAATACAATTTTTATATGGATACATTGATAAACTGGCATTGATTTTTTAAAAATAAAAAATGAATAAATAATAGTGAGTGTAAGTGATGAGAGGCTGGGTCATTTTCTATAAAATAATTTAAAATAATAATAATAAATAAAAATAATCATTAAATGAGACTTTCTTTAGGGCAGAATAAAAGTAGGACGTACTCTGATATTACCAAAACTAATCGACCAAATTTAAAATTCAGTCCATTATAAGGTAAATAAACTCATATCCAGGTTAATAGATCTGTTTTTAACGCCTATAATCTAAATTAACTTATAATTAAAATCAATTTAAGAAAAAATAGATATTAATGAATAAAATTGAATAATAAAAATTTAAACAAAACGTTTTAAAGTCTAGATAAACAAATGTACAAATTCAAATTGCAATTATGACTTAGTTCGTTAGTTTTGAGATTTCTCCATGGGGTGATGAACCTAGTTAGTAGTTTGGTCGTTACTGACCGAAGATGACAAAATGCTAAACCTGTAAGAATTAGGCAAACCAAAATGATTGGTAATGATAAAAACTACAAATTACACATAAGTATCTAGCATAAGTTACTATATAGAATAGACTTTTTTAAATTACAGCAGTGCTTGTGTAACAAACAATTTTGTTCTCTTTATGATTTTTTTTATTATAAGGTTAAACAAGAGTATTTCTCCTCTTGTTTAACCTTCCAATTACATATATTAATTACATTTGGAGGGAAATTGTGAAACAATTAGCTTTTTTTGTATAATAGGATTTTCAGGTTGAAAGACGTTGGACTGCGGTTAAGTATGAGGGTCAAGGGTTTTCCAGAGGCTTCTGTTGGATAAGGTGTAGGGAACTTGGGCAATGTTTCGAAGCATTTGAGAGTGGATTTTTTTGGAGGTTGTAATGCTTTGTTGAACCCCCAGTTCAATTCCGTACGTACAAATTGGTTATGAGACGTTTTTGGTCATTTTTTTCTTTTAAGTTGAGCATGGGGCTCCAAGTAAATCTTTTGGTTCGTGTAACCCAAATAGCAAACAAAATCGGTTGCTGGGAGAGTAACAGGGTTGGAATAGATTGGAGAAATGAAGGTTATATGTTGGGATTTGAGTTGAGTCAATTTTTTCACACTCCAGACATTTCTGGGTTTGCTAAAAAATTGCTCTGCATATGATTGGGATTTATAGGTATATCAGTATACACTGAATAGAGAATGGGACCAAAGCTGCTGCCTTGTGGAACACCTGCTTTGCTATGAATGATGAAGTAGCATGATGATGTGTACCTGAGATGGACAGGATGATGTTAAGTGAATGGAAGGATGCCGTTGAATTCCTACACTTTAGCAGGAACCTGAAAAGCGTACTATAAAAAGAGCAAGGAATGGTTATAAGGGTTATGAACTTGGTTATGTTGCCTGGGCCCAAATTAATGGGATGAAATGACTGGACCTTTCAAAGCTGGGATATGTTAAACTTTACTAAGAAATAAAAATAACTATCATGTAACATTTGTGTTTTTGTGAGCTCCCAAAAAGAAAGCTGGAAGGGGTACAATAAGCTGTAAAACTGCAGTGCTCAGAGGGAACTCAAGTTTCTGGTTCCTTGATCAATAAAGAAAAAATTAAGTTTGAATGATTGGACCAAAAAATAATTATTATTATTTATATTCTATGTACAAAACTATACACATATTTCAATAAAAATACTGATACAGCTTTTAGTGTGGATTAAGCGTTTTAAATACAATATATAAAATATTAATATAATAAGAACTGTAGTAACATGTACTTGACAAGAGAATAAAATATAAAAACATGTTTTTTAAACTTTTTTGTATTATCACAGTCAGCTTGTCAATCACAGCGTTATGAATATGCAGGAGGACTGTTTTTTTTCTCCCCTTGAGATTTGAGAAAATTTTTGCATATTTGCATTTTGTTTAGGCTCAGCTTGTCATTTTCCTGTTAGATAATTTTATTAGGAAATGACTCACGAGAGGTTCTGATAAGACATTTAGCCTTAGCGTTCTCTTCTGCCAGTAATAAATTCAGATTCAAATAAGAACAGGACAAAAATAAAATGTTTATATCTAGGGATGTTTCGTTACTTGGAGACCTCTCTAGAAACAATTCAAAACAAACACAAATCCGTACGTATTGAACATTGATTCAAATAATTTTATTTGTAATAAACAATTTATTCCTCAGGCTGTGTTTTTCAAAAATCTTAAGGCACTGTGATTGATTTATACTTTCAAGCAACTTTGCTCAAAGTTTAACTTTAAGACCAAATAATTTTTCTGAATTTTATACACTTCTGTATTTTCCCTGACTAGTGAGCACTGTAAAGTGTGCAGAAAAAAGTCTTTTATCGGATTAATATCAAAAGAAAAATTAAAAAAATGACTTCATGATCGAATTCCCGTTTATTATTGAAGATCCTGCGACAATGATGTTCGCCCCGGTTAGCTTTTCCAAAACTTGGAATGCTGAAATTTCTGCATACGTGACTCCTCCGACAAAATAGACGACAAAGGTGCGACTGCCTTTGCCGATTTTCTTCTCCCCTTTGATGGTACAATTCGGCAATAGTTTGGCCACATCCTCTTCGGACGAGTCTCCCTTTGCCAGCATGCTTACGATTTGACAAGCCACAGGGATGTAGTTGCCAGTGAAGACAAAACCTGCATCTTTCGGCTGCTTAAAATCATAATCGTCTGACACAGGTGGTATCAGTTTTAGCTTCTGAGCGAAACTCATGAAAGCACTCTTCCTCGTAGGGAGGACAACGGCTTGTGCGACCCTGCTTGCCAAATAGCTACCCGACTGTTCCACACAGAGATTGGCCTGTTCCAATTTATAAAAAACCGGCAAGTATTGATAGCCGTAAACGTGTAGATAATTTGTTTTGAATCTTTTATACTCATCTTCTGTCAGGCCATCTTGGGTTATTGATAATAAGCATATAAGCCTGAGAATAGCATATCTATTGTATACATTCATGATTAAGGAGTCCTCAATATACTTGAAACTTTCTTTTCTTTCTGTTGAATTGATTAAGTTCGCCTCTGTTGTTTTTAAACCTTCGAACCGATGGCCCATTTGTTCGATTATGATTTCGCAAGCACTTATATGATAAGCGAGACTTTTTTTGACAGCGGTTATTGTTGACATTTCCTCGGAGATGAACCGTTTCAACTCTGATAACTCCAAAGTCTTACTTTCGTTCTGAACAACTTGAAGGTCTTTTGAAACTTTGCTTAAAAAAGGAAATACGTCTGAGAAATGTCTGCTTTTGATCTGGGCGTAAATACTGTCAGCATTGCTTAAAAACTGGCCGATACTTTTTTCCCCTTTAGAACTTTTGAGTTCGACTATGCCGCTGTTGATGCCGAATTCTTCGTCTAAGAGACTGGTATACGTTGCTCCTGTGAGTAATGTACTTGCATAATCGACATCTCGGTCGATAATCAAGAAGTGTGTAACTTCCCTATCTAAGGTGTCAGGTGCTGCCAACTTCTCGTTAAACACCTGTACCATATCGTATACCATTTCTGAGTATTTGCCCTGTACAAGAGTTATGTACGGCTCTCCGAGCAAAAGTTGCAACGTCCATATAGATTTCGCTACAGTGTGAAGCAGTGAATAATCCCCTTCGATGTACAAGCTTTTATACAAACTGGTGCATTCCAGCGAGAGCACCCTCCGATCGAGCGGTATCAGCTCCCACTGAAAAACATGAGTTTTGACCAAATCGTACAGCCCTTCCTCTTCCAATAAGGCGTCTATCGAACAGAGCTTTCGGGTTACGAGTATCAAATTATATGAATGCTTACTTTCACTGGAAAGTTCAGAATTAATCCTGTCGCATACTTGCTTCACTGTTTTCAAATTGGCATTGATGAGAAATACCCTCTCTGGATTCGTCAAAGGAAGATTGTCAGAGTTAAGTTTGTACATCTTGTCAATTCCTTTAGATCTGCAAATAAAAAATAAGTAATTAAAAACTCAGCCTGATTTAACTAAACTGTGCAATTGCTCCATGTGGTCTGCGAGATGATAAACCTGTAATTTGGTCGTTACCGATCATTTAGGTCGTGCCGGTTGTAAAAATATACGATCAAATATAATCCAGTCAATAAAAGGCTCCAGTTGAGTAAATTCATTTACCCTGTTTTGTGCTGATTTGTGATAATTTATTGTTTGCAACGATTGTTTATAATGATCTTATATCAGAATGTTTTGTCAAATATTTTACAATTTCATCACTTTGTATCTCTTCAACAATTTTGCATCCACCACATACGACTATGCCCCAGAAAAAAAATCGTTGGTATAATTTTTAATCAGGAACAAAACGTGTTTGTTAGAGCAATGCCCTGATTAATTGAAGATGATAAATGGACGCAGATAAAGCATGACAAAGTCGAAACAACGCTTTCAATCTCAAACATGTCGACAATCAAGTTGCCATTGAAAGAAACAAATAGATAAATGGAAAAAAAAACAATGATTGGTTGTTCGAGGAAATGAAAATAAAACTAATCATTGTCTTGAATTAAAATAATAATAATAATAATCATGTATAAAAGCATTTTGTCATCTTCAGTGGTAGATGTGTGGATGGAAAACTCATGTCTTAATCCTTCAAGGTACTGAAATGGCCTTTTAAAACTTCACTTTTTATAAATGTAAAATATGGACACAGTCAAATCATTGATGATTGCCTTTGTGTCTGGTATAATAAATCAGTAATGATTGTAAACAACCAAACTATGTCTATAAATCAATGCGCCATTAAAGATGTTTGAATGCCCTGACAGACGAAAATAATAAAAAGTCTTTATTACGAAAGAGAAACAAATTAAACATTAAAATAAAATAAGCAAGTGACAGCCCATATGCTCGGTCATTATACAGAGAGACAAGGCAATAGGCATACCGTGATGATCTGAAATAGCCAAACTACATCTGAGAGATAAAATCAGAGAATTGGCAGACTAGAATATCAAGACCTTCAGGACTACTGAAGATGGCAAAATGCCAGAATGGTCATAGTGGACCTAACCAATTAGATTAGGCATACAATGAAGCCCAGAAAGGAAAAAACTGCATTTATAAACGAGGGGACTATGGTACCAAGTGGGCAGCAGAATCTTGGCTCTAGACCTCCACGGTCATGGCACTTTTTTCATGTAAACCCCCCCCAAAAAAAAAAAAAAAAATGTATATATCACATTCCTTGGCAAATTTTCAAAGTTCATAACGGCCATTAAAAAAAATAAAAAATAAAAAATGTCTAAACCATGGCGGTGTGGCATTAAAGATGGTGAAAAGCCGAAATGCATCTGACAGACAAAATCAGAGAGTAGATATAACAGGATCGCTAGATACAGCCAAGCTGCATCTACAAGTTATGATGATTGTGCTTAAAGATGATGAAATGCATCAGAGAGGCAAAATGGGAAAATAGGCTACCAGGATCTTCAGGACTACTGAAGATGGCAAAATGCCGGAATGGTCATAGTGGACCTGACCAATTATATTAGGCATACAATGAAGACCAAAAGGAAAAAACTGCATTTATAAACAAGGGGACTATGGTACCGAGTGGGCAGCATGTAAGAATCTTGGCTCTAGACCCCCACGGCCATGGCCCTTTTTTTCATTTAACCCCCCCCCCCCAAAAAAAAAAAAAAAAAAAATCATATATATCACATTCCTTGGCAAATTTGCAAAGTTCATAACAGCCAACTAAAAAAAAATTTAATTTAAATTAAAAAAAAAGTCTAAACCATGTGGTGTGGCAATAAAGATGGTGAAAAGCCGAAATGCATCTGACAGACAAAATCGGAGTAGATATAACAGGATCACGAGAAACAGCCAAGCTGCATCTACAAGTTATGATGATTGTGCTTAAAGATGATGAAATGCATCAGAGAGGCAAAATGGGAAAATAGGCTACCAAGATCTTCAGGACTACTGAAGATGGCGTAATGCCGGTTACAACATGACAGATCAAAATATTACACCTGCCATGATGATTGGAAACAACCAAACCAAATCTATCTGTAAGGCACGGCAATGAAAAATTACAGATGAAGATTGAAGAAATACATCATACCGACAAAATTAAAGAATAGTTATAAATGGATGGTCAGAAAACCCGAACATTTATAGTAATGGGTCATGGGGCAGTAAAGACGACAAAATGCCATGACGGACAAAAATAGCGAATAGTCATACAACGAACTGAAACAGCCAAATTACATCTATAAGTTATGATGTGCCTCGAAAGCTGATGAAATGTATCTTAGAGGCAAAAAGAGAGAACAGGCATACCAGGAACTTGAGGACCACTGAAGATGATAAACTGCTAGAAAAGACATGGTAGGTCAAACCAAGGTTTAGACCTACAATGATGATTAGAAACAGCCAACTACATCTATCATCTATAAGGATGGCGATGTAAAATTGCAGATGGTGGAATGACAAAGTACAGACCGGCAGAACAAAACAGTAAAGATTATACATTCTGTGATAATCAAAACCAAGCAAACTACGTTTATAAGTCATGGCAATGATAAAATAAAGATGGTGGAATGATGAAATGCATCGAACAGACTAAATTGAAGAATAGGCATTGGAGGATGGAAAAAAACAACTGAACTTCGTCTATAAGTTGACAATGTGCCACTAAAGAAGGCAAAATGCTGGAACAGACCTGGATGAACAAAACAGTAAAGATTAGAGATTCTATGATAATCAAAAACGGGCAAACTATATTTATAAGTCATGGCAATGATAAACTAAAGATGATGGAATTATAAAATGCATCGGACAGACTAAATTAAAGAATAGGCATAACAGGATGGTATAAAAACAACCAAACTTCATCTACAAGTCAAGTTATGGTTATGTGCTACTAAAGAAGGCGAAATGGACATGTCAAATAAAACAAGTAAGGATTAGTCATACCAGGATAATTAAAAACAACTAAAATGTTGGGCCACTGAAAACAGTGAAATGCTGGAATGTACACGGCAGACCAAACCAACAACAATTTATCAAGGATGATCAGACACAACCAAACTTCATCTACAAGTTATGGTGATGTGCCACTAAAGAAGGCGAAATGCTGGAGTGGACATGGCAAATAAAACCAGTAAGGATTAGTCATACCAGGATGATTAAAAACAACAATTAAACAACTACAATGATGGGCCACTGAAGACGGTGAAATGCTGGAATGTACATGGCAGACCAAACCAGCGACAATTGGTCAATGATGATCAGACACAACTGCATTTATGGTGATGAGAAACTAACTTCGAAGAAATAACGAAATGCACAGACTAATTAGAGAATAGGCACACCAGGATAACCACAGTACGGGTTTATCACCACTGCAGACCTCAACACAATATTTCACGATTAGTAGTGGAAATATACTCAATAATCGTGACTGATTAACAATTTCTTAGTTAAATTATACACTATTTTTTAAGTAAAAGACAAATTATTGTCACCTCAGTTTACTAGCTCCGACGATCCTCTCCAGCGGTTTCATAAGGCAGTCATCTATGATCAAATCCTTGAAGCCGACGATCCGTTCCAGGATGGTCAAGAGCTTCTGCTGCGAAATTTGGACTAGCGAGTACAATTTTTGATCTATCGTCTTGTTCATATTTGGCTAAATTGAAACTCCGGTCAATTTTTGGTTGACAGCAACTCGCAGAAAACCGTAGCGTCGCCTCTCGGCCGTAACCTCGCAGTCCGACCAGGTTTTCTGTTTACAGTACGTTTTCAAATTTTGATTTTCCAACTTTTGTTTTTGTCTGAATTTCTCCGATTCGAGTGGCAATTTTGCAAATACGAGCTCGCCCAGTCTTGTAAAAAATGCTCGGACTCGGAAAACCGGAAGTTCATCGGACGGCTGTGGATCTTTAATTGATTAATTATGAGAACGAGTGCCTTAGAAAGGAAGCTTTTTTGTTTATAATGTCTGAAAAAAGACTTACTAGGAGTTTCAAAAGCTATGTCGGATTTGACGATGAGGTGGGTGTTCAGTTTTGTTAATTAACGCACAAATATGAAAAAAATAACAAATGTGACACAGGCTATCAGCATTGACATCTCCAGTTAAACTTTAAAGAATGGTTTATTTTCTCCATGAACCTGGAAGAATGGAACTATCAGCAAGAAATGCTTTCGGTTCAGTTGTGAACTTATCAGCTTTCATTCCTCCTGAAATGGGGAAAAAAATTTAATATACAATTTAAAAAAAGTATGGATCAATATAAAACAAATAAAATTTTGACTTTTCTATAGAAACATCGGAGAAGGTCATTGACTTCAGGATCTTCTTGGTTCCCTAGGTTGTCTTCATTGAGTCGTTGCTTCACATTTTAAGATGATTTGCATTTTTATCTGTTGAATATTCGAGTAATCAAAGTATCTTTGTTCACCTTTCCATCATCATGATGATGAAATGGGGGTTTGGCAAGCACTGCAACTCGATACTTCTTTTAAGAAGTAGGTCATTTACGGTCATTTCTGCCATTCTTTTCCCTCGGTCTTCTTAGCACCCTAATATGTTTTCATTGAGCTTCACATTTGAAGATGATATGATGACATTTTCATCTGTTGAGTTTCAAGGAATCAGAATCCCCTTGTTGTCTCTTACACCAGGATGATGATGGGAAAATGGCGAGTGGGGTTGGCATTCCCGAGCATTGTAGCTTACTGTACTTTTCCTAGTATGTAGTAGATGAAGAAATAGATGGTCATCGACTGCAATTCATCTTCAGGATCTTCTTGGTACACTAGATTATGTCTCCGTAAAGCTATAGCTTCACATTTGAAGGTATGAGTTGCATTTTCATCTGTTGAGCTTTCAACTAATCAAAGTCTCCATGTTGGCCTTTCCACCATTATGATGATGATGAAAGGGAGGTTTGGCAAGCACCGCAATTTATTGTATTTTTTCTAGTTCCTTAGTTCATTCAGTTGACTTGATCCTTCTTTTAAGAATTAGGTCATTTACTGTCATTCTTTTTTCTCGGTCTTCTTAGCACCCTAATATATGTTTTCATTGAGCCGTTGCTTCATATTTGAAGATGACATGATGGAATTTTTATCTGTTGAGCTTTCAGGGAATCAGAATTCCACCAGGATGATGATGGGAAAATATGGGGAGGGGTTGGCATTCCAAAGTACTGCAGCTCACTGGACTTTTCCTAGTTCCTTTAATTCAGTTCAATTGGCTCAATCTTTCTTTCTTTTAAAAAGTAGAGAGTCATTGATGGATTCATTTTCAGGGTCTTCTTGGTACACTAGATTACATTCCATAGAGCTATAGCTTCACATTTGAAGATGATATGTTGCATTTTTATCTATTGAGCTTTCGAGTAATCAAAGTCTCCTTGTTTACCTTTCCACCGTCATAATGATGAAATGGGGGTTTGGCACTGCAACTAATTGTATTTTTTCTTGTTCCATTGTTCAGTTCAGTTGGCTCGATTCTTTTTTTAAGAAGTAGGTCATTTATGGCCATTTTTGCCATTCTTTTTCCTTGGTCTTCTTAGCACCCTAATGAGCTGTTGGTTCATATTGAAGATGATATGATGGCATTTTCATCAGTTGAGCTTTCAGGGAATCAGAATCCCCTTATTGTTTCTTCCACCAGGATGATGGATCCATCATCTTCAGGGTCTTCTTAGGTTGCTTCACTCTGTCAAGGGGTGAACTTATGGGTTTTTTGGAGCTTTCAAGATTTAGGCCTTTGGTTGGGTTTGAGAGGCAGGCTTGGAACTACATACCCTAGATTATATCTCCATAGATATGGGTTGCATTTTCATACATCAAATTTTCAAGAAATAGTCTCCTTGTTGACCTTTCCATGATGATGATGATGAGGAGGAAATGGAGGTTTGGCATTCCCAACTGCATCTTGAGTGTAGTGCCATGTAGTGTAATTTATCATTAGTACAATAGTACTTTTCCTAATTCCTTAGTTCAGTGCAATTGAGTCGATCCTTTTTTTAAGAAGTAGTAGGTCATTGATTGTCATTCTTCTTTCTGGGTTTTCTTGGTATCCTAGTGTCTCCATTAGGGGTGTCGGTGGTTTAGGTGTTGACACAGCACTCATCACTGGTCCTGGATTTGAATCCAGCAGCCCTGTATTTGAACTTGATATACTTACAAATGGGTTTTTTTCAAAAATACTGGCATCCTGAGGGTTCATATAACCTTGTAGTTGAAATACCCTTGCAAAAAAAAGTCTCCATTGAAAGATTGCTTTGCAGTCAAAGATGATATGAAATTTCTTCATCGTTGCAGATCATTAGGGTTCAATGTTGAATAATACCCATGCTGTGTAGGTGCTTTTTCAGATGCCAGTGACTTTTATAGATCCTGAGTTTAACCCTGTCTAACCGTAGCAATGCATTTGCCAATTTTTAAAGATCTGTAATCATAAGTATACTGTGTCCAGTACCTTTGGAGTTACGGCCGGGCTTTTCCTCATCTTCACACTAGCAGAGGAAATGTTCCGTGGTTTTTTTTCTTCTTTCAGGATTGTTCTACTTCGGAGTTTGCAGTGTCCAGCCAGAAGTCCAACTATGATTCCGCCAGTCCTAGCCTGGCCTAAGTCTAATAGTTCTGCTTTAGTTATTGCGATGGTCCTGAACTTTTCAGCATGCCTCTGGAGTTTTTTCCATGGTGGAGGAATCTGTGTTTACCTTTGTTATCCCAAGTATAGGTTCTGGGACTGAGGTCTTGCAGATCGTTTTCTGTTTATTGACTGCTTTTCATCACCTAGAATTCTTTTGTGCCCTGGTGTCCAAGATATTATTGTTCAGTTTTCCCAGGTTTTGGAGATTTTCGATGCATATACTGATTATGATGTGACCTGTTTACCTGCTAAGCTTTTAGGGCTGCTTGGTTGTCTGATTTTATGAGATTGAAAGACTGACCTACGAGAGATAATGTATCCCTCATTCTGTTCCCATAGCACACCGTGAGTTATAGTTCATCAAGAAATCTTATTACAAGATCCAGTTTATATGGTTGAATTTCTTCTTTGGTTAGGATGTACATTGTAAAACACTTTTTCCTGCAGGTAAGTTTAGCTCAGCAGTTTGTTTGTGGAATGTGTCCCTCTACTTGCTCTGCGTAAATCTTTTTCAAATTTGTTCTTTCTTCCTTTGATGCATTCTGTTCTTTCTTTCCTTCCGAAACTTGGTTGTGCTTGGATCGTCTCTGTCCAGTGAATGAATTCCACTGTTTCATTTTCATTCTGTATTTTTATCTAAGATACATTGATAGTGTGAATCCCTATGCGACAGAAATGCTCAGAACCTATCAGTGTTATAGCAGCCATTTGCTAAGGCGTTCACTCTCTCGTATCCTTCTACCATGTCCTGGGACCCAACAGAATAACTTTATTTTGTATTCCTAATTTATTTAATTTAGTTTTCAGCTCCATATTTGAGCAAATAATACTTGAATTGAAGCTGATGGCTGCTGGGCTATCTGACATAACAGCTAAATGCTTGTTTTTGTATCCTTGAGGTTTTGATACACAGTGTAGAAAATTATAATAATTTATGTTAGGTGAAATAATTCTTGTCATACTGGAGGTCTTAATGTCCAACTAGCTGTTGGGTGTCGTGGACAAAGTTCAAACCAGTTAATATATTTTTTACATATTATTACCAATTAAATTCCATGGGTAGTGATTGGATTTAAACCGAGAACCACTAACTCAACAAATAGTCAGACACCCTAACCACTCGGCCACCGTAATTCCCATAATTTTCATTGATGTGTATTGATTAAATGCATTAATTAACAATGTATAAGGTGTAATAAACAACATAAAAATATCTCGAAGGTGCATTACAATGCAAAATTTTGTTGGATGTCAGTGAAGTTTAAATTTTTGCTAAAGCATTGTTCATTCTTTTTTCAAGTTGTGACTATCCTCGCTGAGACACACTGAAGATGGCGAAATTTGACAGACCAACCCAGCGAGGATAGTACCAAAATGATCAAATTACAGGATCATTGCCTTGTAGATCGCACGGAGAAATCTCACGTTTGTTGTTAGATCATCCTATTCATGTTTTCAACATTTCAGAATTGTGTCAAAATCACAAAACAAATTTTAGTAGAAAATCGAGATGAGGTGATCAGACTGAGGCAAAATATTTAATTTTTAAATATTTACACTCTCTCTCTCTCTCTCTCTCTCTCTCTCTCTCTCTCTCTCTCTCTCTCTCTCATTTTATTGAAACTCGTTGAAACATGTAAATTTATTTGCTCGATATATTTTCAATCGAGGAACATGTTGAGCTGAAGTGTTTCTTGCCACAGTAATGACATCATGCCAGATAATTGATGACTAATGCAACTGGTGTTGTATAAAGAGGAAAATAATAATTAAATAATTACCATTCAAAGAATAATTGCTATTCAAATCCAATATTTGTTGTAAATTAATATTCCTGTTGATTGAACAATTCTGTCTTTTTATGACTTTTTGATGAAATTTGTACAGGAAAATCTTACTCAGACCTGTGTGTTGTTTAATTTTGAATACGATATATAGTTAATTTTTTGTCATGTATATAATAAATGTAAATATAGTTGATTTTTGTCATGACTTGTATATACGTGTATGCACATTTTAGGGTAACACATTGAAAGTCTTGAGTTGCTATGAAAAATACCTTTTAACTTGGAGTTTTTGGTTTGTATTTGATATTTCTTTTACTTTTTTGTTATGCTAAAGTAAACCACATCTGCCCAACATATCTTTTTTTTTTAATTGAGCTAAATGCTTGGAAAAGCTTGAATAATTTTTTATTTAATTGGACCTATTTTACAGTAGAATGTCATGCTGTATTTTTAAATAATTAATTATAAATTTGTTATAATGGGCTTAGTTACTAGCTACTGTCAGTATAGTTCATTATTTTTATAAAATTTGCCAATTTAAAAAAAATTAATATGAACTTTGCAACAAAAGATGACAAGTAAGAAAAAAATTACATCATTGTAAAGTTGTTTTAATGCTTACTTACTCCATTTTCCACTGTGTTATTTATTCGTACACTAGTCAAACTGTTGATTGCCTTAGACTGTTTATCTATCGAGTGTACTTCGTATTGCCGGCACAAACCAGCAATGACTCAGACCCCTTGGACTGATTCCTGGGTATCCAGGTTTATCAGCGCTTTATCTCGATATTCTCTGCTGAAAAGTCGAATCTATCGTATTAATGTAAGCAATTTCTTTTTATCAAATTACCATTTCAATTGTCGTTACAATAGAGTAAAATAAAAGGATTGGCGTTTATTGAGTAAGGGGGTGGTTGACCTGGTAAAAAAAATTTTCCTCCTTTCAAACTTTCATTCTCTCCCACAAAAACATTTTTAGCATCAAATTTTTACTTGTTTTATTTACATGTACTATTTATTACTTATTATCACTATTTAAAACACTTTAATCAAAATGCACATACTTTTTGTTTTGTTTGTTCTTGATAGAAAATATGAAGAAATAATGAAATTGTTTTATTTTTTCATTTATTAAACTTTGTCTCTTTCTTTTTTTTTTTCTCTCTCTCTCTCTCTCTCTCTCTCTCTTCCTTTACTCTCTCACTCTTTCTTTTTAAAGTTTCACACAGTTTACAGCATACTCTTATTGAATTTTAATTTTTTTTTCCTTATAAATTTGCCCAATCAAATTATGTTGAAAATGAGATTGTCTATCATTTCTCAGATATTTTTTACGGTGATAATATTTATATTTGAGCCAAGGGATAGAAGTAAATTTACTGTTTTAATTGGGGTCATTAGCATATGAGCAATATATATATTTTCTGTTTGGTCACTAACATGAAAAGTAGCACAGAATGTTTCTTTGTAGATCTATTTCAAAATACTTGAAAATAAACAGTCAACCTCAGCCTGTCATGTACAATAAATTACTTAATTATAAGTAACAAATGAAATATTTATTCAGTTAAATATTGACAGTCAATAGAAATAATGATCAGTCAGATATTGACATAAAACAAGTTTGGTGTAAATAGACTTGGGTGTATTTAAAATTTAAAAAAATAGGATAGAATTGTATGAAAAACAGTTTAGTATGTTATAATAATTAAAATTGTATATTTCAGTTTCTTAATTCAAGCAATGATGACTCCTATATTGAGCACCTCTCTCCAAGGCTTATTCGTGGTAAAATATATATATATATTTTTTTTTAAATTAAATATAGTAGTGTAAAATAAGTTAAAAAAATTTAGGCGAAGCACTTATCGCAGAGGCACAGAACGTCCTTATGTTCTCGCCCGTCAGGGACACCTCTATGAAATCGACGACCGTGTCGTCTCAGGGTAGATCCGGGCTGCTCTGCGTCACTTCATTCAAACTCTCTTTTATCACGTCCGATGAAAAAACAAGACAGGTGATTTATTTTGGTCTAATACGATTGGAAGGTGTGACCTGAAAGTTTGCCGTGTGACAGGAGGTCAGTTTTGAAGATGTGCTCCACCTAGGTGAGAATGATGTCTGCCTGACGAATGTCGACTCTTTGTACATCTATGGGGATAAGAAAAAGAAGCTGGTCCCTGGAAAGCAGATCGCTGAAAAAGTCAAAGGGCTTTATGTTGTTTGTAAGGTACATAAATGAAATTAATAAAATATAACATTTTTACTCACCACAAGAAGAAAAATTGCAAATACAAATATTTTTACCAAATTCAAATATTATTATGTATTTAAATATATTTTAAAATTTCATAAATGTATGTTTTAATTGAATTAGATATTATCAATTTTAATGAAACTTTTTTAGGTAATACTAGGTCGAAAAATATAAAATATGTCTGAATGTTCTTGCTAATGGGCTCTAGGAGTAGAAAAAAAATTTAAATGTTCTATTTCAATGTGATGACCAAATAGTTATGCCATAGCTATCTATCATACGGAAGGAGATGAAAATTTATATTTAAATGGTATTTATAGGTGCTTAAAATGAATCCAAATAAAAAAGTAAGAACAAAAAAAAAAGAAAAAAAGATTTTTGACCTACTTTACTGGAAACATCAATTGTTTTTGCATCTTTTTAAATCTTTAATCTCATTCAATATGTTCCTACTTATTATTTTCTTATCCTAAATAAAAATACATGTATAAAAAATTGACAGATATATAATAAATTTGAAATACATGCACATCAAAAGCAGGAAAACATTTTTAAAAAATGACTTAAAATACACTGCCAGGCAAAAAATTCTGCCCACTTGTAATATTACTTGATTTTTATATATTAATCAAAGTTACACTTTTATTCACCACTTTCGTGGTCCGCTTGACCAATTAATACATGTCAATTAATTAAGGTTCTTAGTTGAGATGAAAAAAAGCTAATGGCACGAGAGGGATTCGAACCCATGACCTTCGGCTAGATACGCCGCTGCTCTACCACCTGAGCTATCGTGAACTCGATCCACTCGGACATCAACTCCCCATCTCAACCCCACCTTATGAGTTTTCCCTCCTTTTGCCATTTTCCAAATGTCGTGTAATCAGTTTGGATTCTCGACGACAATTGAAATGGTGACGGAGAGCTTTAATGAAAGTAGTGAATTAATGATTTAAAAATGAAGTACACTACTCCGATTTATAAATAATACTTTTATGTTTAATAATTGAGTCTTTGTCAAATAAAATAAAATAAAATAAATAAATAAAAAAAGATGGAAATTGCTAAGGAAAATGGAAAAAAAGACAGATAAAATTTGTTTTAATTAGATTTTTAATTAACATTTCAATATCGTGTATTTCCTCCTCTTACATTAATTACATCTTGAAGACGCCTTGGCAACCTTTTCATTTGTCTGGAAATGTCTCTTAGTTGGAAGTTAGCCCATTCTTCACGAAGAGTCCTTTCATGATTGTGGACTGTATAGGAAGTTAAAATTTCTAGCATTGTATAAAATTCATTTTTTCACACCCTACATGCATTTCTATAATTTAAACAATGTTTATAAATCCCAGGCTTTGAAGATGATCTCGCTAAAGATCGAAACGTTGGCACGATAAAGAAAATGATTTTCTAAAACCTATGCCACACCAGATGATGATGATCTCATGATCTCCAAATAATTTTTAATTAATATTTCAATATCGCATATTTCCTTTTCTTGCCTTAATTACATCTCGAAGATGCCTCAGAATACTTTCTACCAGTCTGGAAATGTCTCTTGGCTGGAGATTAGCCCATTCTTCACGAAAAGTCCTTTGAAGACCGTGGAGTGTGTAAGGGAGTGATGGACATGCTCTTATTCATCTTTTGAGTTTATCCCATAAATGTTTGATGGGGTTCAAGTAGAGAATGGGCTGGCCAGGCTAAGACCTTGATGTTATCTTGTTGAAGGTTTGTACTGTGCGAGCGATGTGGACAAGCATTACCATGCATTAGAGTAGGATTGTCGTTGCTTTCATTGAGGTTAGGCTACGCATGATTTTCCAAAATTTTATCTACACAGCGTGACCCTCCATGAACAACAACCAACTCTGTGCGACTCTTCATTGAAATTCCCTCCCACACAATCACTGAGCTACATTGAAAAGGTTGGCTCTTGGAAAAATTACAGGCTTCGAACTTTTCATTGCACCTTCTCCACACTCTTTCACGTCCATCTGCAGATCGTAGAGCAAATCTACACTGTAAAAAGTACAGCAGACCAATCATCCAAAGACTAATGGCTGTGTTCTCAAGAAAATGCGAGCAACTCTGTGTGTTCTGGTCAATTCTGGTGCTCTTATGGGGTGAAAAGCCATCAGTCCTTACTGATTTAATCTTCTTTGAGCAGTGCGTTCAGAAATTTGGACACCTCGAACTCCTGGAGCTAATGAATCGCTTAACAAATCTTTGTAAAATTCTCAAAGTCAAAACAGTCGTCTTGTGGTTCTTTTACCCTAGGGCGTTCAGAACCGGGCCTTCTATGGGAGGACCCAGTTTCTCGAAAATGTCTAACCACCTCTCACAGAGTTTCATAGGGATCTCCATTGGCAATAGCCGCATTCCTGATGGAACATCCATCGTCAATAAGTGCGCAACATCCTCAGCACTAAGTGGCATTTTTAAGTTTACAACTTGAAATTAAGAAAACAAAGATTAAAATTAAAGTTTATTGCTTCAGAATTCAAATGGGACTGAATAAACATTTTAAATTATGTAGAAAGTAAACATTGAAACATCCTTTATCCTTGTTTTGGATTAAGGATTGTGTTTCTTATTGATATTCACAATTTAAAACAGATCATAAACATATTATTGGTAAATACAATGAAACGAATTAAGGGCAGAATTTTCTTTTATCGAGAAAATGAAAAAAAAAATCAATTGGGTGGAATTTTTTGCCTGTCAGTGTATTTTTTCTCGGATTCTTGGGCCCATTAGTAATAACACTTGGACACATCTCTAATATTTTTTAATCTAGTATCACAAAAAAAAGTTTAATTAAAATGACAATTAATTAAGGTTTTTAGTTGAGATGAAAAAAAGCTTTTAAAAAAAATTTTTCATCTCAACTAAAAACCTTAATTAATTGTCATGTATCAGTTGGTCAAGCGGACCACGAAAGTAGTTAATGATTTAATTAAAATAGTGATCCCACATCCATACCCCATTGTCAGTAAAAGTTCTATTTTCTAATATTCAACTATTTCTTTCTTAAGTTAGATTATTAATGTATTTAGAAGAAAATGTATTTTTCACTTATTTTTATTCGCTTACAGAATTTGAGAGTGTTATCATTTAGCTTCAAGTTTTCTCCGATTGGCCATGGAAAAACCTTAACAAACACCTTACTTCATCATGCCTTTGCGCAAAGACATCCCCTACTTTTTCTTTATGATTATGGGTACTCATTTTTTCTAATAAATTCTACTATATTTTTCATTAATAAACTTTTCAATTTTTTAAATTAAATTATTTTTTTGAGTAGAGAACTCGTACTTACTGCAAAAACTGAGACAAATATGTTTCGGGAGGCAGGTGACTGGGGAAAGGAGCTAGCAAGGACACACTGCTATGGTTGGCGTCTCTCAGCAGCAAACCTTAATTTTCACCTATCACCAAGGTAATTTAAATTGTATCTGGTTAGTCGACAATTATTAATAATAATTTTACAGCTTATCGAAGTGGATAGTAACGCCCGCTAAGGTGGTCGACGCCCAGTTGATGACAGCAGCGCAGCATTTCCGCGCCAACCGGCCTCCGATTTGGTGTTGGTCGAACTCGGCCGGTGCCGCTCTGGTCCGCATGGCAGACATCATGCCCACTATCACGGACAGGTACGTCTACCACAGGGCGCATTTACAATTCTATACACCAAACCTCTGCTCCAGGTATGGTAACTCTCAGTTCCGGGCCCCATAACTGATGAATCGAGTTGAAGGCCGCCTTTGAAACACTCTTGATACTTTTGTGGTTATTTAATAATACAGTTAATAATTGTATGAATGAGGAGGAATAGACAAGTTTCAAAGGCGACATTCTACTAGGGGCTCTTAATTATTGTTTCATCCCTGTGGCGTTTGTGGTCATTAAGTGCATGCTGTTCAAGTTATACGTAGAAATTAAACTTTATGAGGTAATTTATTTTAAAAATATAATTCTTTGATATATCTTCTCAGCAATACCTGTATTTGTTGAATTTTATGTTAACATACAACAAATACATACAGTAGAGTCATTATAGTTTGAACTAATTGAGATTTTGCCCTGTTTAGATTATTGAAAAGACCCATTAGCAGAATAACAGCATTAATGCAGAAACAAGTAGTCAAACTTCTTTATAATGGACATTGAGTAATGAAATTTAATGAAATATTGTCCACTTTTGCGATAAGAATGAGTAAGTGAGAAAAAAAAATTGGCATTTCAAGAAGGCTACAATGGCGATTACAAAATATCAACACCTTTGGAACACCGAGGAGTTTTAACCTTTTTCTATGACCAGAGGGTTTTTCTACGAGAGGAAAGTTAAACCTTTAAAACATTTCCTGCATAGTTGTATCCAGAAGTGCTCTAAAAATAAGGCTGTATCATTGCAATTAAATGTAGGTTCAAAATCGGCCCAATGTTGTTTAAATTTTTCCAGCCAGGTTTGTCTTTCGCTCCATTAAATGTCTTAAAAGAAACCTTATGTTCTTTTGTAAATAGTCACGCCAGCGTAATGATGCTTTGCGTGTTTTGCAACTTCTAAGGCCTTCTCTCGATTAAGCAAACCAGGGTATAAAATATAAACTGGATTGATTTTCTAAAAAATAACAAACCAACAAAAAGGATATTAAATTGAGTACGTTTTCTGAAATTTGCCGGTCTCTAGGTTTGGAAATAGTAGTTTAGAATCACCATAGTAAGTTTTTCAACTTTAAAATAATAAATTCACTAATTTCGTGGTCCGCTTGACCAATTAATACATTACAATTAATTAAGGTTTTTAGATGAGATAAAAAGTCAATGGCACGAGCGGGCTTCGAACCCACGATCTTCGGCTTGATACGCCGCTGCTCTACCACTTGAGCTATCGTGACCTCAATCCACTCGGACACCAACCTTCCATCTCAACCTCACCTTTTACCGCAGAATATATCCGAAAAAGCTGTCCGTATCTGTCATTGGAAGTGTCCTCTTTGTAGAAGATTTTATGAAGAAACTAATGGGAAGATGTCTGAGAATTAAAATTTGTTCAATGGAGGTGTCTGCTTTTTAGAGGTGTCCATTAAGAGAAGTTCCAATGTATTTTGAAAAATAAGCTGAAAGTATATATAAGCTGTACAAAGAAAAGAGTGTAGTTAAGTTGTTCCTGAACATTTTGATCTGTCATCTTTGCTGTTGTCTGTCTGATGCGTTTTGGCTGTCGCCATCTTTAGGTTTTAATTAAGACCTATCACTGAAGATAGACAGGTTGAAATGTGTATGACAGACCAAAATGTTTGGTGATAACCAAACATCACCTCGCAGACTTCACAATTTAAGGGTTAAAGTACAGGGAAATAGGCAGTAGAGTTTGGAGTGGGCAAAGCTACAATAAGTGTCCATTAATACCTTTTAACTAGAAAATATTTAAAAAATTTATTTTGCGAAATGAAAAATTTCCTTTCTCCCACTTGATGAGTTTGGATCAGACAGACATTTGAATCAATGGTTTTTGGATTAGTGGGACTCCTTTATATTATATTTCATACTTAAAGCTGTTCTAGATTTTATTTTTCTATAATTTTTTTTCAATATTTTTGACTGTTTAGTATGAATTTGAATCAGGAAAGAAGTTTTTAAGAAAATAAGATCTTTTTATTTTTCAGGCAACAGGAAAATCTTATGCTGGAATCAATTAGAAAAAGTCACCCAAAGCTTACAAAGCCAATGGTTTTAGACCTGACCAGGGAACTTCCCAGTATAAGGGACATCCAGCACAGTTTTATGAAACTGAGAGAACTTTGCACTCCAGGTTTAAACACTTAAACTTTTTTCCTTACAAAAGTGTATTAATTCGATTTTAACTTTTCAGACGACGCGAAACATTTCTGGACTCAAGATCACCATTTCCTGTCCAACTTGGAGAACTCAAAATGGCTGTTGTATGTTTCCGCATGCCTTAGAAAGTCGGCGGAGGCTGCTGAAGGCTTATACGATAACATCACCGTCGTGCTGCAAGGTAGATTCTATGATTGTTTTCTTTATTTTCGTGTTGTTTATTTTAATAGTGTATAGAATGTGATGGACGTGACTTGTGCTGTGTTATCGCCTCCTTGACTCAACTCCTGCTCGACCCTCATTACCGGACTATTTATGGATTCCAGTCTCTAATTCAAAAAGAGTGGGTCATCATGGGCCATCCATTTTCAACTCGATTAGCCCATGTCTACAATCCCGAAACTGTTCAGGTAAAGTCAGTTTTATTTACTTAAGTTTTTTCTCTTGATAAGCAGACTGTACTTTTTGTTGGGTAATAAAGGAAGATTGATAGAATATTGATTTTTTTTTTAATCTTTGTAGTTTTCCCCAAATTTTTGTTTTAGTCTCCAGTCTTTCTTCTGTTTCTTGACTGCGTCTGGCAGATAGTTCAGCAGTTTCCAACTAATTTCCAGTTCACCGAGACATACCTTACACTTTTGTGGGAAACGGCGCTTGTTTCCATTTTTGACACTTTTCTCTTTGATTGCGAACGAGATCGTCTTCTGGCCTACGAGGTATGTTTTGATGTAAACACAGATGGGGAGAAAACACAACAAATATTCTTCTAGGATCCGGCGAACAAGCTGACCTTGAGGAGCGTCTGGGATGAGATTTTAACAGGAAAAGATGCACCGTTGCTTTATAACCCAGTTTACGCGCCGCACTCGCCAAATATAACGATTAGCTATCTGCCGGTCAACCACAGGATGCCCTGCCTACTCCTCTGGAAGCAGTGCTACTTCAGGCATATCCCACTTCTTGAAATCAAAGGTGGTGGCAATCCACAGGTACATTGCTTCGGTTTTATTATCTTAAATAATATTACGATTGAACTTTCCCAGACATACCTCATGACTGGACAATTTTATCCTGACTTTCCCCAGTTTTATTTAATTTACTTTACAAAGTAAACAAATGACAGGTGACTCATGTTAATTGCAAACTGTAATGTTTTGGGAATTCTCACACCCTGCACCACTCTATTGTGAACGCGTTTGACACTTCCTTTTCAGTTTTTAGTTTAGTTTTAGATAATTCTCTGATCCTTATTATGACCGATTTGGAGATGAGTGAGATAATAAATTATACATTTTATCTAAAATCTTGGTTGAGATGAAAAAGTCATGATGTCACGATAGCTCAAGCACTAGAGTGGTTAGAGCAGCAGCATATTGAGCAGAAGGTCATGGGTTTGAATCCTGCTCGTGACACTAACTTTTTCACCTCAACCAAGATTTTAGATAAGAAGTATAATTAATTGAAATAATTTAATAGGTCAATTATGACGGCTGAACATAATGGCTTAAGCTTAACGCAGAACACTAGATAATAATGGAGACACAATAGACCAATATTGATTCTGGTGCGCAAGGTTGTAAAGAAACCAACTCCTTCTAACTTTAAACTTAACCCATTTTTGTTTATTGTTCTAATTGACTAGTCTAAGGTTGTGGGTTTGAATCCCACTTGTGACACTAAATTTTTCATCTCAACCAAGACCTTACACAAAAAGAATACTTAATTTAAACTTAATCTTTAAAAAAAAAAAAAAAAAAAAATGTGAGGGATGTCCTATTATTAGAAGTGTCCATTTTGAAAGGTTAAACTGCACTTGTTAAATTCACTAATTTCGAGGTCCACTTGACACGGAAAATCCAATCCAATTACACGACATTTGAAAAATGGCAAAAAGGAGGGAAAATTCAAAAGGTGTGGTTGAGATGGGAAGTTGGTGTCCGAGTGGATTGAGGTCACGATAGCTTAAGTGGTAGAGCAGCGGTGTATCAAGCTGAAGATCGTGGGTTTGAATCCCGCTCGTGTCATTGACTTTTTTATCTCAACTAAAAACCTTAATTAATTGGTTAATATTAATTGGTCAAGCGGACCACGAAACTAGTGAATTGAATAAGTTTAAAATGAAGTATACTTCATTAAAGCTCTCCATGGCCATTTCATTTGTCGCCAAGAATCCAATCCGATTACACGACATTTGAAAAATGGCAAAAAGGAGGGAAAATTCAAAAGGTGGGGTTGAGATGAGAAGTTGGTGTCCAAGTGAATCGAGGTCACGATAGCTCAAGTGGTAGAGCAGCGGCGTATCTAGCCGAAGATCGTGGGTTCGAATCCCGCTCGTGCTATTGACTTTTTTATCTCAACTAAAAACCTTAATTAATTGTACTTGTTAATATCATTTGGCTCTTCTGTACTAGGTAACTGTACTTCTGGTTTGTCAGGAGTTTGACCGACAAAATACATTTGATCAAACAATCTGCTTTGAAATTCCTAACATTACTTAACACAGTTAATGTGGCTGACTTTCAGGCAAACAGTTCTAATCAGCGTAATGGCTGACCTGAAGGCCAATCATAATGCATGAGAAAAATTTTAAAAAATTGCGACCCAGGAGGGCGAGAATTGAAAATCCAGTTATTATTGAATGAATGTGCAATTGCCTTGCATCACATAAATTAATTTATGGGGACTGCTGTAGCTGATTTAGGGCGCCCGACTCATATTTGCCAAGTTAGCGGTTTTGGGTTCAAATCCTAGCAATCTAATAATTTTTTAATTTATTATAGTATGAAAAATGTATTGTAAAGTAGTTTTTACCCCTTGTCCTCGACATCCAACATTGTACATTAAACCCTCCTGTATAACAGGAATTTAAAAACATTTCATCTTAAAATTATCTTGTATCATTAATTTTTAATTTTGGCGCAGATTGATTTCATGAATCGTCTATTATTGGCCCAGTCGGAAAACGACGGTGACCTGGGCACTGATTCGTTTTCGCCGGACGCTTTGTCCCAATACGGTTCTTTCTTCCCGTTTTCAAGGGGATCTTCCATAATGATGAGCCCTCCGTCGGCACTCCTCGTCAGCTCACTTTCGCTCAACACCAGTTTCTACTCGTCTGAGATAATGCTCGACTCGCAATCAATATTGAACACTCCTGACTGAGTCTAAAGAATAATAAGAAAAAACGTAAGTGAACAATTTGTTTATTAAAAATTTTTTTCTGCACCTCATGATTTTTGTCAAATGATAAACAATAATCATGGAGAAAAGGTTCAATTTATAAGTGAATGTTGAGAATTAAATTGATAATTGTAATAGTCACTTTAGATTTAAGGATGATTGTTCAAATGAAACTCCATGTCTGTGATTTATTGTTTTAAATAATGTATTTCACCTCAGCAAATATGTTTGTATTTTTAATATATTCTTTAATATAGAAATATTTTATTTTATAATAGTCTAAAATTTATACATGTTAGTTCATAAAGTCCCTAAGGAAAAAACAAACCAAATGAAAAAAAAATTATGCCTATATTTTTTAATAATCTTATATTATAATTAAGTATCTGTATAAGTTAATTTTAAGTTTAACTTTTTTTCAAGTTTTAAAAACTAATTGTACATGCATTGTACAAAACTTGTACAGATTGGATGGCTATTGAAGCAAATTTGCATGTGGCAGTGCTGACCAATAGTGGTGGTGAGTAGAGTTGTACTACTTGTTTTTGTGGAAAAATTTCATCATCTGTAATGATAGTTCTTGATCAAACTCCTCATTCTTCTTGATCCTAAACTTCTCTGCTTTGCGTTGTCTTGCGCCTCGTCCAGGTTTTGAGCCCTGAGTCTTGACTCGATAAGCCTGAGACCTGTCAAAAGCCGAGGTTGAAGGTGTTTGTGGGTTAGCACTTGAATTCAAATCTTGATTTTCCACATCAACGATTTGTAGTTCAAGCTCGTAGGGAAAGCCACGAATTTGCTTTTAAAAACTAATAAGTTTATTATTTGGTGTCTACTTGAGTAAATTTGCTAAAATGTTCACATCTACCCCAATGTTAAAAATTAATAATTTTTTATTTTTAACGTTAATAATAATTATATCATTAAAAAGTTGTTAAATTTTGCCTTGGCTGGCATAAAAATATTGCCAAAGAAATCAAAAAGATTTAACTTATGTTTACAGTTGTTTTTATCAACTTCTGTACCTGGTATTGTAAAAATATAATAATATATATAAAATGAAAGGTATCCATGGGAAAGTAAAGATTTTGGTAACTGTTGGATAACTGCTGGTTTAAAAAAGTTAAATTTTTTTAGAAAAACATTAATTTTAGTTTAGAAAAGGATCAATTTCATTAAGCGAAACTCAATTTGATATGAACAAACTAATTCGTTTTTTACGTTTAAAAAAACATCCCAAGATAATTTGATATAGCAGACGTTCAATTGTTGGTTTGAAAAAACTTAATTTGTTTCTGTAAAACGTTCATTTTGGTTTAAACAAAAGGTTGTAAGATTGACCAAAAGTTCAATTTTTTAAAGATGCTGTTGGTTTAGGAAAAGTTCAAATTTTTTTTTTTCAAATGTAAATTTTAGTTTAGAAAAGGATCAATTTGATTTGAAAAAACTAATTGGCTTTTGAAAAACGTTCATTTTGCTTTAAAAAAAGATCCCAAGATAATTTGATTTAGCAAAAGTTCATTTTTTCTTTTTAAGATTGAGGTTTGGAAAAATTACAATTTTTTCCTTAAGAATGCTCATTTTGGATAACAAAAAAAATCGTAACATAATTTGTTTCACAAAAGTTAAATTTTTTTAAAGATCCTGTTGGTTTGGAAAAAAGTTGAATTTGTTTTTGAAAAAATTTTAGTATAGAAAAGGAACAATTTGATTAAGAAAAAATCAATTTGACATGAAAAAATAATTTGTTTTTGCAAAATGTTCGTTTTTGCTTTTAAAAAAAGATCCCAAGATGATTTCATTTAGCAACAGTTCATTTTTTTATATGTCTTATTTTATTTTTTAAAGATTCTGTTGGTTTGGAAAAACTTCAGTTTGTTTCTGAAAAACATTCATTTTAGTTAAAAAAAAAAAAAAGCAAGCTCATATAAGATATGAACTTTGAAATTGAAATTGAACTTTTCCATAGTTTATGTAAGATGTCAAGGGCCTTTATGAACGTTAGTATGTTAAAAAATGTTAACAGATCGTTTGAACATTTCTAATTATTGCTATTATCTTTTCATTGCACCATTAAAGATTTATTACATTAATTTATAAAAGTTCTCTTAGTTAGTTGTCTGTGATAAAACTTCGCATCAGCTTTACTTTTTGAAAGTGCTCGAGCCGTTTGATCAGCGCCGCTCGAGGGAACCAAAAACAGTGGTCTTCAGGGTATTCGGTGTTGTCATTCATATCAGCTTCCTCCGAGTCGCATGTTTAACTGGCCGAGCCTTGAAATCGTTAGAAATAAGTGTATGTTGTTTAATTGGATATTTTATGCGTTCGTCTATTGAAAGGATTTGCAACAGTTGTTGGCTTCGATTGTTGTTACTTGTATAAAAGCGTAAGATTATATTTATAAAAAAAGAAAAAATTGAACATTACTTTTACGTTCAAAACTATTGTATTTTTAAAGTTGGAACTTCGCAGATTAAAAGTATAATAATATTGTATGTTAACTTTATGAGAAATATAGTTATACTTTAAGTTTATTTAAATAATACATTATTAATAAATTTATTCTATGTTATTTGTACTTTTTGTTGAGATTTTCCTTTGACCTTAGATAACTGTATAAAAATACCAATGAAAGGGGCCGAATGGTTAATTTGTCACACTAGTGGTTCAGGGTTTAAATCCTGGCAAGAGAATAGTGTAAAGTGGTTTGACGGATAATTGGACTTCTCTAAAGTTCTCCTGAATGACAGGAATTACTTTACTTGAAAATATCAATCAATCTGTAAAGCTACTTGGAGATTTCAATGCTTACCATTATATATGGAGTACTTAAATATAATTTAAGTATAACTTAAATATTTTTAATTAATCAATTCCCATTCATTTCTGTGCTCTCGATCCACCACCTCTGTGGTCAATTCTCAGTCATTAAAAACATCACTGACAATGACAAAGTCAGATAAAAACAGTGGGAGTAAGACCGGAATGAACATAACCAACTACAGGCTCATCACCCTGAAAATATCAACAAATCACACATCAAACTCATACAATTTAGTTTTCCAAGTACCTGGAATTCTTCTGTCATTTAAAAAAAACACCACTGATGATGACAACAGCCAAAATATGTCAGACAGATAAAAACAGTGGGAGTAAGAACAGAATGAACATAACCAACTACAGGCTCATCACCCTGAAAATATCAACAAATCACACATCAAACTCACACAATTTAGTTTTCCAAGTACCTGGAATTCTTCTGTCATTTAAAAAAAACACCACTGATGATGACAAAAGCCAAAATATGTCAGACAGAAGAAAACATTGGGGAATAAGATTAGAATGAACATAATCGACCAGCAATGAGTTCATCACCAGCAAAAACGTTCACAATTTACCTTTTCAAATACTTAAGAGATTTCCTTTCTTTCATAGTCACAACCCTTCAACTGATGGTTGTGAATGGCCAAAATGGTCAGGCAAACCAATATAATTATGTATTGGATATAACATTAATCCTTATATATTATATTTAAGTATTAATATTTTCACAAAAGACCAAATTTCAGGTTCAACACACTCCAGGCCTCAATAAACTAAAAAGGTTAATTTACTAATTAAATTCAATTTTAGGAATACTCGAGAGATTTCCTCTCTGCATCATAGTCACAAACCCACCACCGATAGTGGAAAAATGTTCTGACAAACCAAAACAGCAAGGATGGGTAGATCAGAATGATTGGTATGACCAACTACAGGTTCGGCGCCCTGCAGACCTTAGCAGAAAATACCAAAATTTAATTTTCTAAAGTCTTAAAAGATTTTTTTCCCATCATCATAGTCACAAATTCACCCTTGTAAATGGCAAAAAATGAAAATGGTCATGTAAGGCTGAGGGGCAGAAAAGTACGATGACGACGACCTGTCAGCCCCTGAACCCTTTTCCATTATTCCAAACTGCCAAAAACGTAGATCCATGAGGCAATGGTTTAGAAAAAGTCCTTGGTTCAATGGTTTTCTAGATCAGAGGCTCGCGAAAAAAGTTTATTAAAGAACCATCGCAGAAACTAAAGGCAGAATTACTAAATATAGGATGTGCTAAGGCTAGAATGATAGCACGACACTAAAGTCCCTTAGCAGCAGAAGCCAATCCAGATTTACAGGAAGAATAAGAAACAAAGAACAAGTAAAATTCATATGGGGGGAGGTATTCTTTCAGGCAGAGACTAGCTATTAAGCCATGTGCCGAAAAAATTATACCTACAATTTTACCAAAAATGTTGCTATGGAGTTAATGAAGAAAATGTTCAATTTTGTATGGAGTTACAATTAATTAAGGTTTTTAGTTGAGATAAAAAAGTTAATGGCACGAACGGGATTCGAACCCACGATCTTCGGCTTGATACGCCACTGCTCTACCATTTGAACTATCGTGACCTCGATCCACTCGGACACCAACTTCCCATCTCAACCTCTTTATCTCAACTAAAAACCTTAATTAATTGTAATATATTAATTGGTCAAGTGGACCACGAAATTAGTGAATTTAATGATTTAAAATGAAGTGTACTTCACTAAAGCTCTCCGTGGCCATTTCATTTGTCGCCGAGAATCCAATCCGATTACACGACATTTGAAAAATAGCAAAAAGGAGGGAAAATTCAAAAGGTCAAGCCAAAAGTCAAGAAGATCGTGGGTTCGAATCCCGTTCGTGCCATTGACTTTTTTTTCTCAACTAAAAACCTTAATTAATTGTAATATATTAATTGGTCAAGCGGACCACGAAATTAGTGAATTTGTATGGAGTATTTCCTCCTCTTGCATTAATCTTCATGCATTCAACATGGCATCCATTTTATGAGATTTTGAATGTAGTGCTGTGGAATATTTTCATACTCCTTCAGCGCCATTCTTAATTCTTGCAAATTCTCACGCATCACTGGGCAAGTTTTTCACCCTGTTTGAAAACTCATCCCAAAGGTGTTCGATAGAGGTCGGGACTGCAAGCTAGCCACACCAACCATTGAATTGAAGCCCATTACAAGTAGTCCCCAGTGATCCTAGCTTTATGGGGCCTTGCATTGTCATGCATAAAAATAAAACCATCACCAATTAGTGGCATATAAGGAACAACTTATGATAACACATCTTCAATGTATCGTGCAGCTGTTAGAACCCTCGATGAAGATCAACCGCGACCATCCTTAGAAATGCCTGTCTAAACCTAACACCACCACCTCCATAGCTTCTTGAATTAAAAATGTTGTGGGGATATACCGTTCTCCTATTTTTCTCCAAACCCTCTCTCAGCCATCAGAAGACCTCAAACCTTGACTCATCCAAAAACAATATTTTAGTTCAATCTTGCTCAGACCAACTGATTTCTTGTGAAACTGAACCAAGCTGTTCTGTGCCTTGCCAGAAGTTCTCAACCAGTGGCAGGCCTCGCACTTAATCCAGTTTTTAAAAGTCTTCGATTGAACTGTACTTTTTGAATCGCTTGATCTCAACAGCGTAGAATGTCGATTTGAACATAAAACGATCGTTTCTCTGAGATGTGACATGATAGCGACCTTCTTGGGTGACCTCCAGTATCTTGATAGCGATGGAAGACCCTTCGGACAGTTGTTCTGGGAATGTTAAGCACCCTGGCCAAATACGCTTGACTTTTTCATCTTCCTACAATGCCACAATTCTAGCTGAATCTGCATCACTTAAAATCAGCACTCAAACAAATTTGAAACTTAAAAATGGTACAACGTAAAAAAATCAAACCACCGGAACACTAGAAAAAAGCTTTGGAGAAAAACCGACAAAGAAGAGATTGTCTGTCCAAAGATTTATTTATAAAAGCAAATAAACACAAGCGGGAGATTTTATCTTGTTTTATTTTCCTCTAATCCTTTAAACAATAACAAATATTAATGTAAGATGAAAATAATGGATGATTATCTAAGAGATAATTAAAAATATTAACGATGGCCAATTTTTTGTCCCTTGGTGTATTTGAAAACCTAGAATGAACAACTCATTAATACACAAAAAAAACTCGTGTCAAATCAAAAACCCAGACTTAATCCTTACAACCCACACCCAAGCACTGGCTTCAGGGTCAGAATGTGTCTAACAGATCAAACCAATGAGGATAAAGATTTAATTGTTTAAAAAAAAAAATTTTTATTTCTAAACTTCAGTGTTTACATTTAAGCTTAAATTCTTCATTTTTAGTGAAATGTCAAAATTGTTATCATCGATCTATTACTATCATATTGCATCATCTCCGTCTCCTGCAACAAATGTAATTTTTCAAATGTTTTAAAATCTCAATTTGTTAGAAGGTCAATTTTATCATAGCTCATTTATGCAAATGAACAAACGACAATTTTGAATCAATATGAAACTTTTTTGTCAGAAATGAAAATCTTATTTTCTTTATGTATTTAATTATTATTTAAACATATTTGGTCACATATTAGGTTTTACCTTGTAAGAAAAAAAAATGTGCGCAGGTCTCAAGAAATTCTTTATTGAAATCTGTAAAATTATATATCGAAATGCTGAATCATCGTCAGGTATGAGTAAGTCGCTTGCATTAACTGAAACATATTATTTTTATATATTGAAAACAATTAAATATACAAATTGTTACCGTGGTAAATTGCTCCATTGAAAATGTAACGAAATATCTGTAGTGGAGGTGCACAGGATATGTGGCGGTAGTCATCATTATTAAAAGATCCTTTCTCGAATCGGTCTTTTCGTAGTACCACTGGTTCCGATAAGCTGTTCGGTAGATCTTTTCACCCTGGAAATTTACATTATAAGATAATGTAAAATTTTGGATATTGATCTTACTTGGGTCTTGATGAGGTTGCCACTGTAGCAAATAACAAACGGTGGGATCACAGTTAGTGCGATAAGTAAATATGATGCCAAGATCATTATATTTCCTTCTTTCAGCCCCTGTGAAAAAAATTCAAGAGTTGTACAGTCCACAGTTGTATTTATAATTCAATTCAAACGGACAGAAACTGCGGCGTAGCCTCGTGCGGCGATCTGCATAGAAGATAATACCATTTCAAAACAATAGTGAGCGCTGAAAAATGAATTAAACTCCTTGACAAATCTGTAAAAATGTGTCTGTCATTTGATGCTAATACAGTCAATTTCCTGTTGGGATTTACATGATGATTTTTTGGTGTAGTTTGTAAATTTTTTTGTTGGACTCTTTATCATCCTCTGGTGACCTCGATTCAAGCATCATATGCAAGATTTGCATCTGTACCGATCCCTGTTCGGCAATTATGCGTACCAGTGCTATGCTGATTGCTATGCTCAAAAGCGCAGATCCAAAGATAGTAAGCTGGTAAAATGTACCAAGGAAGATATGCTTTTTCCAATCGAAAAATACCCATAGCGCCAAGGGCACGGTTTTAACTAAAAAGAAAAAAAATCAAATTGCAAGGGAAATTCAAACAAAATTTTAATTACCATCAGGCGACATCAAAAAATTTTTAATTAGCCATAAGACGAAATTCATTGGGATGAGGCCATCATAAAAGAGAATCATTGCTATAACCATTCTCACTGAAATTTTATGAGCCTTGACAAATAAATGCGTATATTTAGGATCATGTGCGAATTCAGACCACATGTCATCGATGAGTGTGAAAAATTTAATCGTACGCTTTCTCTGTAAGACTATGTTCATATGTTTGGATAATATATGACAAGTTGAGATACCGTACTGAAAGCATTCCAGTTTTTCGTAGAGGCTGAAAAAATGAGAGTATGTGTTTAAAACAGTGTAAAAAAAAAAGGAATTGAATGTGTCAAGGCATTACCCTATGTTCTTTGATGTCAATGAGACGAAATTTGTGAGTATGAATAAAAAAGTGTTTACACACTGTACCAAAACGTAGATGGAGAAAATTTTCGGGAACTTCGCACCCGGTGGCACCATCATACCGCTTATCCCTAGGATCCGGAAGACGAATTCACTAGGTTTCTTCAATTCTGTCATTTTCTGCTTTTCTTAGTGTTGGTCTCTGGTTTATTTCTATAAAACCAAATGTATATTTATTTATAAAAGAAAAAAAAATTCTCATAACATAGATTATGAAAAAAGAAATTATCCAATTTTTAATCATTTATTTTAAACTCAATAAACTGGTTCAAATAGTGAATTGCGCTAAAACTGAATTTCTGTAACAATTGGCTCACAAGTGAAAACAATAAGATTCTAAAATAAATAACCACACAAACACCCAAAAGATGTCTGAAGCGAGGATTAGAAGAAAAAAAAATGACAATAAGACACTTCAGACAGTACAGTTTGATCACTTCAGCAAAAATCTCTTAATTTAGTTTTCCAATTCGTACGTTTCCTTTTCTTCATCATAGCCTTCCAACCACCGATGAAGGCAAAAAGCCAAAATGGTCTGACAAACCAAAACTGTGGTAATAAGACCAGAATGAACAAAACGACTAACTACAGGCTGATCACCCTGTAGATTTTTACAAAATTTAGTTTTCTAATTACTCTGGAATTCTTCTCAGTGATCACCATACCAAACCATACTGATGATGACAAAAAGCCAAAACAGGTCTGACAAACCAAAACTGTGGTAATAAGACCAGAATGAACAGGATTTTAACAACAAAAAACCCTCAAAATTTAGTTTCCCAATTTATATGGAATTCCTCTCAGTGATTTAAACAACACTGGTCTTGACAAAATACTAAAAGAATCTGTCAGAGCAAAACAATGAGAGTAAGACCAAATGATCAGAAATGACTAACTACAGGTTCATCATCTTACAGATTTCAACAAAAAAAACTCATATATTTGTTAAAAAAAGGATGCTACCAAAGCAGTACGTCGATATTATCAGTTCCTACCTAACTGACAGACGGTTTAGAGTCAGACAAGAAGATCAATATTCAAAATTAAAAACAAACGCAGGAGTGTCACAAGGTAGCATATTAGGTCTACTTTTTTACTTGTTATACACCAGTGATTTTCTGAAAATAGTTAGAGTAAAAATTGCAACATTTGTAGATGACACAGTGGTGATAGTAGGACCAACTATCAACCATTTAACCAAAATCCTTCAAAATCCTTGCAATAAGATAAACGAATGGACAAAAAAGTGGAAAATCAAGCTAAATTAGCAGAAATCAGTTCATCTAATCTTTACAAATCAAAAAGTGGACCATATTCTGTCGCTCACAATCGATGGAACTACTAATGAAAGTACACGTGAAGAAAAAAAGGACAGAAATAGGTTTAAGTCATAGACAACTCTAGGTGGCTCCAACCTTGCTATACAAAAATAAAATATTATGCAAACAAGTCCTAAAGCCTATGTAGACATATGGTATTCAACTATGGGGTTGTACCAAAAACAGCAATATCAAAATCATACAAACACTCCAAAATAAAATTCAAGGCCAATCCACCTTGGTAAGTAAGGAATAAGGAATTACCTAGGGAACTTAAGATCCCTGAGGTCATGACAGAAATACAAAGCTTTGCTGTCAAACATGTCTCACCTCAGCCAGCATGAGAATGTGGAAGAGAACAAACTCCTACATATCCGAAACACCATCAGAAGATTAAAAAGAACAAAGCCGTATGAACTAATGTACTTAAAAGTTAGTGAAAAATGAAATGTAAATCTTATTGAACCAATGGCTTTATAAGAATGTAAACATTTATTTATTCTACGTTTCCTTTCCATCATAGTCCCAAACTTACCAGTAGGAAAAAGCCAACACATGTCAGACAGATGAAAACAAAGAGAAAGACCTGAATGGTCAGCAATGGCCAACTACCATTCTACAGACCTCAACAAAAAAGTTTTTCAATTACATGAGAGATTTCCTCTCTTTCATCATATTCCTCCTATCATAAGCCTAAACGATGATGGCAAAAAGCCAAAATGGTCTGACAAACCAAAAGCAACAAGAGTGTAGATCAAGGGGGGCCGCGGTAGCCGAGTGGTTAAAGCGTCAGACTCTCGGCTAGTAGATCCCGTGGTCGTGGGTTCGATCCCCACTATCACCTCTGGACTTTTTCTGACGCCTAAGGGGACCGGTGGCTGCAATTGAAAGAAATTGACACGGCACTCATCAATGGAAGGGGTGGGATCGGAGCGAGCCTGAATTTGGTCCCAACCCCCTTCAAAAATGAGTTTCTTTGATGGAAGAACACCGGTACAACGTGGGCTCAAGTTCACATTTGTGTTGCGAGCCCTCCCCCAAAATATGGAGCCAGGGAAAAAGTACTATAAACTGAACAGCTCAGCTGCAGTGCTCAGGAGGGAACTCCACCAGTCCCTGGTATCCATTGAAAAAAAAAAAAAGTAGATCAAAATGATCGGAGATGACCAAACTGCAGGTTCATCGCTCTTTAGAGCTCATCAAACCACATACTTGTCACAAATGACCAAACTATTCATATATCATGCTAACAGGTCTACTATAACAGATTGTTTGAGGTTTACAGTTGAATGTAATTAAATGTTGGAAATAATAGAAATTCTTAAACTTATGACTGGGAATTGTTTTAATAAATCGACTGTAAGTATGCAAACTGTCGATGAAGGTGTGGGTAGGTCAAAATGATCTGTAATGACTAAACTACAGGTTCAACATTTTGTAGACCTTAATGAAACATCTAAAGGTTTACATTTTAAAACTTGTAAGTAGGGATTGTTCTAATAAATAGATTGCAAAGGTTTGAACTTGATGTAGCAAAAGGTGGATGCCGACTTTGATCCTGCTTACGCCATGCAGGTTCGTCCGTCTTTCTGCAGATGGCGCACAGATGGTACTTTCTTCTTCCCTGGTTGACCGCCTCTTCACAGATGTCAGCCTGTTCGATTACAGCAGGTGGCCAGCAAAGGCTTCAAAACTGCTATTCTCTTTCTGAGAAGTGAGACATAGTTCGGGTTTTTTCTGTTTTTACCCAGTGGTCGTCAACCAAATTCGGTCCGATCCGTCAAAAATCTGGTTCTGACAGCCTGGTCGGTCGACGTGCACACAGAACTTGTCCATTCACAAGGATTATTCATCACAGAGCTTCTCAGCGTTTTACTCGAGGAAAACAGAAAAGTGGTGAGTACATTTTTTTACTCGAGACAATTTCTCCTGTCCTGATGATCGTAAAGTAAAATTCCTTGTAAACTGGCTCAGAATCATCAGGCTTCATCACAATTCTTAAAAACCTCTGCAACCACTTGCGACATTGATGTTGACAATAGTCTGATAAGTGAAGTGCTTCACATCAAGTATTGCTTCACATTTTAAATAAATTTGTGTGTTTAATTTAGGTTACGTGTGTAAATATAGCTTTTTTTACATTCTTGAGAATGTATTATTGACTAAAAAACAACAACAACAACAAAATCCTGCCCTTGAAATTGTGCAAGTTCATTATTTGTAAAATCATTGGGAAAAAATCCATTATTTACTTCTGTCTACTAGGCTCTTAAATTTAAATTTATTTATTCCATTTTGTAAAAACCAAATTTTTTGCATTCATCTTTTTCAACACATTCAATGATGTTCGATCGAATTAAATAATAAAATGAAACACTAAAATACACTGAAAAACAATTTGTCGTTTGAAACTCGTTCTTAATTTCAAAAAAGTTCAATTTATATTTGAAAAATGATTCTTTTGAGACAAAAAGTGAGTTCATATTGACATATTTGAAAAAACTTAAATTTGTTTTTGCATTCATTTTGGTTTAAAAAAAGATCCTAAGATAAAACCAAAAGTTTTTTTTAGATTAACTTCAAGATTCTGTTGGTTTGGAAAAAGTTCAATTTTGTTCAATTAAACGTTAAGTTTAGTTTAAAAAACGGTCATTTGATTAGCAAAAGTCAATTCTATTTTAAAAAACTTCAATTTATTTTTTAAAAACGTTTATTTTTTTATTTTTATTTTTTGTTTCAAATAAACATCCTAGGATTATTTAATGTACCAAAAGTTCAATCCCTCCCCCCCCAAAAAAAAACCGTTGGCTTGAAAAAATTTCAATTTGGTTTTTGAAAACATTACGTTTAGAAAATGGTAATTTATTATATCAAAAGCTCAATAAAAAACCCGTTGGCTTGAAAAATTTCAATTTGGGTTTTGAAAATATCCTGTTTAGAAAATGGTAATTTAATATATCAAAAGTTCAATAAAAAAAACCCCGTTGGCTTGAAAAATTTCAATTTGTTTTTTGAAAACATTCTGTTTAGAAAATGGTAATTTGATTGAGCGAAAATCAATTTTATTTGAAGAAAGTTCAATTTGTTTTTTTAAACATTCTTGTCGGCTTCAAAAAAAAAAGACCCTTGGATAATTTACTATACCAAATGTTCAATTAACAAAGCTTGTTGGTTAATTGTGGTTAGAAAAGGTCCAATTTTATTTAGCAAATGTCTGTTTGTTTTGGCAAGTCAATTTGATTTGAAAAAAGTATTAGAAAAAGAAATAATTTAATTTTGCAAAAGTCAAATCGAATCAAATTTGATTTGGCAATTGTTCAGTGTTAACATAGAATGTTTTTCTCGAACTCATTGAACTTTTTTATGCTGAAATAAGTTTTTCTCCAATGAATTGAACTTTAGCCTAATCAAATTAAGTTTTGCTAAATTCCTTTTCTAAACCAAAATTAATGTTTTTTCTAAAACAAACATTTTAAAATTCAATTGACTTTTGCTTAATCAAATTGATCCTTTTCTAAACTAAAATGAATGTTTTTCAAAAACAAATTGAACTTTTGCTTAATCAAATTGATCCTTTTCTAAACCAAAATTAATATTTTTTCTAAAACAAACATTTTTAAATTCAATTGACTTTTGCTTCATCAAATTAATCCTTTTCTAAACCAAAATTAATGTTTTTTCTAAAGCAAACATTTTTAAATTCAGTTGAAATTTGCTTAATCAAATTGATCCTTTTCTAAACTAAAATGAATGTTTTTCATAAACAAATTGAACTTTTGCATAATCAAATTGATCCTTTCCTAAACTAAAAGGAACCAAATTAAATTAATTGAAATTTTCCAAAATGAAATTAAACTAGTTTTAACCCAAATGAATTTGTTTTCTAAAACAAATTTAATTAGGTTGAAAACTAACGTGAACATTCGTCTAACACAAATAAATCAGTGTTTGACAATTACTATAGCAGTTAATTGTTGGATTTTTAAGATAGAGAAAAATTGAGTTTGTTAATTTTTTTCGTCTTAGTTAATTGAAATATTTAAATAAATAAATCACGGATTGTGAGTGAGGATCGCAATTTAAAGACGATTGTTTCTATTTGAACCATCCTTTCGTTCGAGGTCGTGAGAAAAGTCTGTTAAATCAAGGATTTCCTTGTAATAAACCTTTCAACCGACGTGTTCTTGTTATGACATTATCATAGGGCATACTCGTACGACCTGGCTAGGCCGTGAACCAGTCATTTTCGAATCGTTGCAATTATCGAAGAGTGTGCAATTGTAAATTTATGCCAATTTTTCATTTCTCTATTGATTTATTTTTTCCGCTTTAAACTGATAATTACGTCATTGAGTAATAAGTGTTGAATGTCTTTAGCGTGATGTATTGTAAGCTGTGAGCTGGCCGATCGATCCTTGAATTTGTTTTATTATTTAACTTTAACTTTGAAATTGGAGTTTTACTGTTAATCGCCTGATACATTATTAAAAATATATTTCTCAAAAATTCACCTCGATGATCTCGCTTATTCTTCAATAAAAATTCTCAATTGATTTTATGGTTAATAATTGCATTCTTCTTCAAGAGGATCTGATTGTATTTGAGAACTGATGCCGATTAAACAAATTATACATTAATGGCGAAAAGTGTATATTTATCTGCTTCTCCAAGCATAAAGGTACAAATTAATAGCAACTTTCGCTGTACTGTCAATGGAGATATTAAAGAAGTCACCAAAATTTCTGATCCATTCTTATTTTTAACTCCAATTATGATTTCCAAGACTTCTTGAAAACCATCACGAAAAAAGCCTTCAGAAGTCTTAGTTGTATCGAGCGAATGACTGTGGTCTTCACCAATCCCTTCGCGATCCAACTCCTCCATTGTTAGACGCTATTTGGAGCATGCCAATGTTGTTAGTTTCCTGACAATCAATGTGATATGGATAGATAGATAATATATATACGACCTCTGCACCGCGACCTGTATTTGTCTGTTGTGCATCTCCATTTTTTTGATCTAGCTCCTCGTTAAACTTGAGGCTTTTCACCACACCCCAAAGCTTTTTCAAGTCTTTCGCGTGTATCCTTCAGGCCCTGATTTTTCTTTCCCATGATTAGTAATCTCAGCCTACATAGGCCTTCGCACCAACAGAGGACGTGTTCGCTGTTTCTTCTTCTTGACAATATCTTCACCGGCTTGTTTCTGCCGCTCCGAGTCCTATACATATGCCTCCGGAGTCGGCAGTCCTGGAGTTAACAGTCCAACTATTATTCTAGTCCTAGACGTCCTAGATTTAGTAGTTCTTCCGTTAGTTTCTGCGATGGTCTTTTGATAAATTTTTTCGCATTCTTCTGTCCTGGAATATAGTACCATTGACCTTAACCAATTGTCTGAAGGATGTTGTTTTTGGCAAATTTGATATGCCACAAAATGGTTCAGAGCCGATAGGTGACCTGATCCTTGGCTGATTTATCGCCCTCTTATGCCCTGTATGTCCTGGTACTCAAACAAGGATGATTTTGTTGTACCAAGCATTTCACAAACCCTTCATGCAATTCCAAACGGCTCTCGACTTCAATAACAATGAGGTAATTGCCTTTAGAGCTGCCTAGCTCCTCTAACAGATGTGTTTGTCTTTTGATGAACTTTTCTGCCTCTGACCTGGGAAAATTCCCATTGAACCGAGGACTTATTCATAACCATTGTCAGAAGGCTGTGTTTTTAACAATTTGATATGGCACAAATGGGTTTTCGGGACTTATAGGAGGCCTGATTGAATCTACTCGTTTTGCCCCTTTGCCCTTTATTCTCTGCCTATTGCCTCTCTTTATTTATTCAAACAGGATGTTTTTGTTGATGTACCCAATCATTGATAACGCTTTGGTGGAATTCTAAACATCTCTGGAATTTACTACCAACGAGGTATTGCTTTTTAATACCGTCTGACTATTCTGTATTGGTTCCAGTCTTTTGATCTCCTTGACAATATGTTCAACGTGATTTATTCTTTGCTTTGTGCTAAGCAATTTTATATATTTGGAACTAAAGTAAGTAGTAAAATAGGTTCGGTAAGGTAGTAGGTAAATAGGCGAATTACTTTTTCTCATGCCTCTGTCCCAGGCTACATTCTTTTGAGCGGAGTACTTATTATTAATCCATTGTCTAATGGATCCCGTTTTTTGGTAGTTTGGTAACTCACAAAAGGGTAGAGGGCCAATAGGTGTCCTCATTGAACTTACCTTGGTCAATACATCGGCCTCTTCGTTGCCCCTCTGCCCTGTGTGCTTGGCACCCAGACAGAGATAATTTGTTGTTTTACCCAACGTCTGTCAGGGCTCTAATGCAGGCCCAAAGGACTCTGGACTTTAGATGCGGCAATTGCCTTCAGTGCCGCCTGGATGTCCGAGTACATATATGATTCTCCTTCTAATGACTGTCTTTTTATCTCCCTGGCATAGTGTTCAATAGCAGCTTCCGCTTGAAAGACGGTGGCATATTGTCCAAGGCTTATATTTTCTAGTCATTGGTTTATTTCCATAAATGCCAGCTCCTGACCCACATTCGGTTTTGGAGCCACCTGTAAACCAGATAGGGTCTGCATTAATCGGGATCCCTTTCTCTCAGTCTGCTCTACAAGGTATTTTGATTAGAAGTTTTTTGTCAAAACTGAGTTAGAGGTCATGGTATCAGTAGGCATCCCCAAAGTTCTGTCTAGTTTAAGCTCCCCTCGAAGATTTAGTTGCTCCTTGTTATGTGAGTAGGCTATTGGAGGCTGATCCTGAGCCTATGAATTCTGGCTCTGGCATCTCTTTGGATAAAGATGTGTAGTTTTATGTGATGTGGATAGACTTGAGAGAGTGCAACGTAAAGTGGTGCGGTATTTAGTGTTCAGATCTGGTCTTCTACAGATCTTCAGCAGACTTGTATTACTGTGGTAAACTTACAGCTGTTGGGCTGGAAATTCTAAACCTGCGTAGAGTTGCTGGTTCGCCCACTTTTTGCTGGAGAGTTCTTAATGTTCCTAAGACGGTCTCCTCCTTTCATTTGAATGTTCCGAATCGAACCTTAAGAAACTTTAACCTCTTTAGTTATAGACTAGTTATAGACCTCCGCTTGTATTCCTCGCCTAGCTCGCGTTCTCAATTCATGATCACATATTAGCGATCCATTCTTTCACAGTCACAGTGTGTACAAATGGTTAATTTATTATTGGTTAACTCATTCAGCAGGCTTATATTGTTGGATATTGTTATATACGTGTCCATAGGTACATTAAATGTCGATTTACTTTTTCGTACGATTTCGTTTTTAAATTGTACTTTAATTTTTTATTTATTCTATACTGTAATGACTGCCTATTTTGGGTATGTAGCCTGTCTGGACTTTGTACAGATAAATAATTTTGGTATTTACTGACTCGATTTAATTTTCTTATCATCACACATGAGGTATGGCCGAACTTAGAAAACTTCAACCGCATTAAATATTCAGAATGTTTGACTTAGAGTACTTATCGTTGAAAATAAATTTTTAGTGTTTCTCGAATAGAATGCATACATCATCCTTGCCTAATTCCCCCTTCGTCGTGTACGCAGTTCATTATGCATCTTTTACGCCCTAGTTGTTCCAAGGGCGGAACCCGGCTCTCCTTCAAGTTTTGAGAAATTTCCCATCGCTTTACAACTGTTCAGAGATTTTCCTGTTCTTTACGTTCTAATCCAAAGCCGGACGGGAAGGAAAATAGACCCGAGATAGGATAAACTATTGTAGATTGAATTTATGCCCTGTTTAATCTCTTGTGATTATCCCTTGTAAATCTTTATCTCATAACTTTATGATTTGATTGAGGAAGGACTCGTCCTTCCGTACAGCGAATTCTTTCTTGCTTCAAATCAGTGCCGTATATTGGGGTGCAGAAAATGGAACCAACAGTAGAATGTTTAAATAGAGGGGCCCCAAAACTGAAAAGTTCGATGAAAGTAATTGTAAAAGTGTTAACAAAGGCCTACCCAGGAAGATTTTTTAGATACTAAAAAAAATTCAAATAAGCATAAGATCGTGCTAACAGCAATTTTGATCATTGTCTAGAGCGCTTAGTTAAAGTTAAGGTTTTTTACCAGATAGCTTTGTTAAAGATTCTCGTGCGTGTTCTTCAGGAGTTAGAATCTCAGCCTGCACGGCCTTCATACCGACAGAGGGCAGGTTCTACTGTTTCGTCTTCCTGGCAAAATCTGCTGCTCCGAGCCTCCAGAGTCAGCAGTGTCCATTCCGCAGTCCTACTATCATTATTGTCCTATCTCGTACTAGATTTAGTAGCCGTGCCGTTAGGGTGGTCCTTTGATGACTTTTCGCACCCCTCTGTCCTGGAATACAGTCTCATTGAACTGAGGACATAACCAATTGTCGGAAGGATGTAAGTTTATGGCAATTTGGTATGTCACAAAAGGGTTCAGGGCCGAAACGAAGGACCTGATCGAACTTCTCGAGGAAATTTATTTGCCTCCTCAGTCCTATATGCCCAGATACCCTCAAGGGTGATTCCTAGTGCTTATATAAATATCTTGGTTTATTTCTATAGGTACATTCTGACGCATACTCTTAGGGCCACTTATATAGCAGATAAGGTCGGCATTAACTGGGATCCCTTCCTCCAAGTGTGCTTTACCGGTTATTCGTTTCTGCTGTTTATAGTCACTACACGTCTGCAAGTTAGCAGTGGCAAGTCAGATGGCCTAGTATCTTTCTAGTCCTAACACGTTCAAGGTTTAGTAGTTCTGCCGTTAGCTTGTGCGATGGCCCTTTGATGAACCTTTTCGCATGCCTCTGTCTTGGAGTACAGTACCATTAACCGAGGACTTATCCAATTGTCTGAAGGCAGTAGGATTATAGTAATTTAGTTCGCTACTAAAGGATTCAAGGCCTTATCGAACTTTCAGCTTGCATAGGACTTATCAAAATGCGATGAGGATATGTTCCGTTGTCTCTCCTTCTTCCTGGCGATATATGCTCAGGCTTGTTTCTGCTTTTCCGAGTGTATAATTGTGCCTCCGAATTCTGCAAGGTCCAGTCAACAGTGGTATCATTCTAGTGCTGATACGTCCTAGGTGTAGCAGTTCTGCCGATGCGTTGTTCCGTTCATGATCCTTTTCACATGCTTCCCTCCTGTAATGCGGTACTATTGAACCAAAAACATAACTGTCTGAAGGTTGTTCTTTTTGGCGATTTGGTAGGCCACAAAACGGTTCAGAGCCGATAGGTGACCTGATCCTTGGTTAATTTATCGGCCTCCTATGCCCTATATGCCCTGATACCCTAACAAGGGTGATAGTGTTGTACACAATGTCTGAAAAGGCCTTAATGGAATTGAAAACGACTCTAGGCTTTATTTCCACTGAGGTTAGGCCTTTAGTGCTTCCTAACTCCCCTAGCAGATGGGTTAGTCTTTTGATGAACTATTTTTTTCTTTGACCTGGGAAAATTCCCGTTGAACTGAGGACTTATTCTTAACCCATTGTATGGAGGTGCGTTTTTAGCAATTTGATATGGCACATGTGGGTTTTCGGGACCTATAGGTGGCTTGATTGAATCTACTCGTTGCCCCTCTGGTACTCAAACAAGGATGATTTTATTGATGTACCCAATCACAGATAATCACAGATGGTACCAACTGACAAGGTTTTGGTGGAATTCTAAACATCTCTGGAATTTACTACCAACGAGGTATTGCTTTTTAGTACCGGCTGACTATTCTGTATTGGTAATGCCCAGTCTTTTGATCTCCTTGGCTTTATGTTAAAGATTTAATTGATTTACCCTTTCCTTTGCGCTAAGCAATTTGAAATATTTGTAACTGAAGTAAGTAGTAAAATTGGTTTTTAGTTCCTATAAGGAAGGACTTTAGTCAAGTAAAGAAAGGCTTAACGTCCAACTACCCGTTGAGTGTCACGGACGAGAGTTCAAATTACTTTATAACACTTTTTTCATATTATTCTCACTTAATTTTACTTGGTCGAACACAGAACCGCTAGGGTGGAAATACGAGTCGGACACCCTAACCACTCGCCTTTAGGACTTTAGATTGTTAACTTTTCTTCGTTTTCTTAGGTCTTATTAAAAGTTTTCAACATTAATATTCTTCACATAGTAATAAAATAATATCGCGGCTGATCTTTCAATACAAAATACTTAAATACATGAAAAGTATCGAGTGTAAGAATACTTTCAGTTCTTCTTCTTTTTCAATTAAATTATTTTCCTTGTAAATAGGGAAGGCTTTATGCAATTACGGCCCATTGTTATCTCCAAGGGTTGGAAATAAATAACGGTTTTTTAATTAGACGACAGTACTTTTAATAGCTTCGGCAATGTTGCTCTTTAGGAGGAACGAATGAATCGCATAAATCTTTTTTTGCCCATGAAAAGAGCACAAATAAGTGCAACACGGCCCACGAAATTCGGATTTTAAATTTTTCCTCGTTTCCCGTACATGTCAAGATAATAAACTCACGTTCGATCCCCTTGTCTACATTCATTGGAAACCGTCGAAATCAATTGGCCGTCCTTCAAGCCTCACTTGTTTCTTGTTATCATACCACGTTGACATAACACATTACTGAAGTACACATTTCTTGATGTAAAAACAAAAACCGACCTCGAAGAAGCAATTGAACAAAAGAAAAATACTTTCACATGCATGGCTAACCATGTAGGTCAAGAACTCCTAATTAATGGTGTAAGCTATAATTACAAAGTATGCACAACAAGAGCGGAAATATGTCTAAATCAAAATTCTCACCGATGACTCAGAAATGACCAAAATTATTCAGATATCGTGAGATGCGGTCGGGTGTGATGTAGGTTTCAGAAAAACATTTTCTTTATCGTGCCAACATTTCGATCTTTTATTGAGATCATCTTCAGGGCCCGGGATTTACAAATAATGTTTACATTTAACAATTATATTTAAATGTAAACATTGTTTGTAAATCCCAGGCCCTGAAGATGATCTCAATAAAAGATCGAAACGTTGGCACGATAAAGAAAATGTTTTTCTGAAACCTACATCACACCCGACCGCATCTCACGATATCTGAATAACTATCGATTAACGGTCACTAATCTCTACACAATGACCAAAATAATATCAATAAAACCATTTTGATCCAAACGGTTATACCATTTTGATTGTATGGTGGTAGTATTTGTTCCTAGGTTACTTCGATATTGTGATCTATGATCATGAATTTTGTAATCATCTATCCTTTATTCAAATCAAGCCAAAAAACTTTATTTAGAGGGAAAAACAATTTACGTTTTGCATAAAAACGTCATATTAGGTTAATACATTGTTCGTTTACATAATTCATGGTTAGGGATGGTTAGGGAACCATCCCATCCCATCCATCCCTAACCATGTTGGGATTTTGAAAGTGATCCGTTTTTATGGCGATCATGCATGTTCAAACACACGGAGAATCCTGTAGTAGGGATATTAGTCTATTGTTGTCCAACAGTTCTTGATCACATTTATCACATTTCTTATGGATGGGGATAATTAATGGTTAAAAGTGCCAGAAAATAGGTTGAGAGATGGAAAAATTCATTTCGTTACAGAAGTTGGTAGTTTTATCTAGACCCGTCGCTGATGTAATAGGTTTTCCACTCGCAGTTGTCTTCATTGGCGGTAACGGAGAAAATAAGAACGATTTTGTCATTTCCATAAGACTGAAGTGCCTTCTGTTCACAGGTTGTTAATTGTAGATGAGAAAAAGCCGAAGTATAGACCAAAGTGCTGGGCTATGATCAGGTCATCATCCTCGAACCATCCCTTAGTGTTAATGAGACAACTAAAAGACCAGGGAATTCAAAAACATGGTGAAACTTGAGAGATCATCATTGTTAATGAACCTGTAGTTTTGTCGTTTGTACTGTCAGACTCACCACTGAAAGTGTCGTGAAGTCGAAACCCTTCAGACATACCAAAACAGTGGGTATAGGTGGACTAAAATGATCGATTAAAGTCAAAGTATCGATCATTTTTCCGCATCCTTTCGTGTCTTCATGTGTTAGGTTGGCTTGTTTTTATTTGTTTAAAATCTGCCGATCCTCAGAATTGTATTTTCTACTCTATTCTTGTACTCTAGGTTTTGATTCATGAAAATGTCAATGTTTTTCAAGAAAGAAATGTATTGGAACAAAAATGGAGGCATCGCCGGCCACCTATTAAAAACATAGACGTATCGCAAAGCCGTTTACATTTTTAAACGATCTCAATGTCAGGAAATTGAATTTGAATAATCCAATCATAACGACGGAGGAGAATAAACATCGGATCAGTGCTCATGGAGTTCGGGGGTGAGAAAATAATGTTTGACTTG